TTCTACATTCCTGCAAAGATGTCGACCAACAAAATTACTATCAAGTGGGTTAATGAAAAATGGGATGGCCTTGTCGAAGATGTTGTTCGGAGCAGGGTGAAATCCCGCGATCCCCTAGAAATCGGCATGGAGGTGCAAGTGACCTACAGATCTAGCAGTCACAGGGCAGTTATTGTTGGGATCGGCGACAAAAGTAAGTCCAACATCAGTTTTATGCTTTCTATGACTTTCTAAGATTGTCTATCAGCAGCAAATTTGAAGCAACTTTTCAAAACGGAAAACTTCTTAACCATGTCTTTTTGGTGCAGAATTATATTTTTAACGCATTGAAATTAATTCAAGTCAGTCCAACATCAGTTTTATGCGTTTCATGCGTTCTATGGCTTTCTAAGATTGTCTATCAGCAGTAAATTTGAAGCAACTGTTCAAAACGGAAAACTGCTTAACCATGTGTTTTTGGTGCAGAAATATATTTTTAACGCACTGAAATTAATTTACAACTTTTGATAGATTTTTGATGTCAACTTCTTTTCCTTTTTCCAGAAAGGAAGCTTTCCGAAGATTCCGACGAGGACGATGTGCCACTTGCGGTCGTTAAAAGGCTCGCCGCTGGCCCCTCCACACTTCCCGAGGCCCAGCTCACCGGGGAACCAACCGGACCCGCCAGCGATCTCAAGGCCCAGCCCGTACCTATTGATGATCCCACCGGCCCCACCAGCGATGAGGCCCAGCCCATACCCATAGATGATCCCACCGGCCCCACCAGCGATGAGGCCCAGCCCGTCCCCATCGATGATCCCACCGGCCCCACCAGCGATGAGGCCCAGCCCATACCCATAGATGATCCCACCGGCCCCACCAGCGATGAGGCCCAGCCCGTCCCCATCGATGATCCCACCGGCCCCACCAGCGATGAGGCCCAGCCCATACCCATAGATGATCCCACCGGCCCCACCAGCGATGAGGCCCAGCCCGTCCCCATCGATGATCCCACCGGCCCCACCAGCGATGAGGCCCAGCCCATACCCATAGATGATCCCACCGGCCCCACCAGCGATGAGGCCCAGCCCGTCCCCATCGATGATCCCACCGGCCCCACCAGCGATGAGGCCCAGCCCATACCCATAGATGATCCCACCGGCCCCACCAGCGATGAGGCCCAGCCCGTCCCCATCGATGATCCCACCGGCCCCACCAGCGATGAGGCCCAGCCCATACCCATCGATGATCCCACCGGCGATGAGGCCCAGCCCATACCCATAGATGATCCCACCGGCCCCACCAGCGATGAGGCCCAGCCCATACCCATCGATGATCCTACCGGCGATGAGGCCCAGCCCATACCCATAGATGATCCCACCGGCCCCACCAGCGATGAGGCCCAGCCCATACCCATCGATGATCCTACCGGCGATGAGGCCCAGCCCATACCCATCGATGATCCCACCGACCCCACCAGCGATGAGGCCCAGCCCGTCCCCATCGATGATCCTACCGGCGATGAGGCCCAGCCCATACCCATAGATGATCCCACCGGCCCCACCAGCGATGAGGCCCAGCCCGTCCCCATCGATGATCCCACCGACCCCACCAGCGATGAGGCCCAGCCCGTCCCCATCGATGATCCCACCAGCGATGAGGCCCAGCCCGTACCCATAGATGATCCCACCGGCGATGAGGCCCAACCCATGCCCATCGATGATCCCCCCAGCGTTCCAGAGGCCGAGTCCACCATTTCCCAGCTTCAATACGACCTGATACCCGATTTTGATCTTTCGGTGATCACCGGGGCCACCTCAGAAAGCCCCCTCATCCACCTTTTGACTTCGCAACTTGCGGTGGTCATCACAAAGCTGGATGAGCAGTCTACCCAGACAAAAGAGTTGCGGGGAGAGATGAGAGATCTTCAGGCGGAGGTGAAAGAGCTCCGGGCTGAAGTACGAGAGCTGCGGTCAGACGAAAAGAACGCCTCGACTCGGAGTACCAGCGAACGCCGTGAACCGCAATACGTCATCGACGACAAGCAACCGAACACTGTACACATTGGTACTCCAAACAATGCCACTCACATAATGGATAGGAACACATATGATAAAATATTTGATCAAGTAGACAACCCCAAAGACTTCATAGTTAAGTTAATGGCAGAAATATTCACTCCACAGGAACTGGCCAGATCGAACTATCATGGCGGGGAAATCTTTAATGGGAAGGAAAGGGTAATCAAAGAATGCATGCGTAAGAAGCCTGAATTCATGGCTGTAGTGTCCCAGGCGGCCCTTGAATTCCCAAGGGTCACATTCACAGAGAAGCTCATAAAGGGACTGAGAGATGCAGTCAATGCCAAATGCAGAAAAAAGGCGATGATGTTAAGAGCATAGACAAAATAATAAAATACTTCAGAAAGAGATAAAAGGGTGTCCTTTGCTAACAAACGAAATATCAGTCTTGGGTTCATAAAATGTGTACAAATAAAGCTTATCATTAAAACCACTTGTCATCAACAATTGATTTTATATTTTTTTTACTTCCCCCTTACAATAATTTTTGTATGCTTATTTTGATATTTATCTTGAGAGCTGTAAACAATTAATGGAATAAAGTTCTAGACACAGATTTCAATCGCGTCCATTAAAAAAAAAAGATATGAGGTATTTTAATTTATAAACAAAATTGGTATTTAGACTGACAGACAGTCGCATTGTGATAACCATCGAAATTCCATTTGTGCACAAAATATACAATAAGGTTGCGGAAACCCAATTGTTATTTTACCCCGCCCAACTGCATTATTATACAAATAACGAATGTTTGTGAGTGCGATGGTAAGAATAATTTCATGAGGTGACAGATTGAATGTTCTATTCCACGAGGCGAAGTCGAGTTGAATAGAACATTCAATCTGTCACCGAATGAAATTATTCTTTCCATTGCACGAACGTGAAACATTCATTATTTGTTTAAATAATGAATGAATAAATCCTCGTCATCTGATTGGTTGACTTTTAATCACATTGCAATAGAACTTCTAATCACAGTGCAATAGAACTAGTATCATTGCACTGCGCGCCACTCGCGCGCCGTGCAATGGTACGAATAATTCATGACATGTGATCAACGATCCACCAATCAGATGACGGGGATTTATTCAGGCGTTGTATAATATTTTTTATTACGTATCCAACTAGCTCACCTTAAATAATAACTCTTCCCAACTTAGCATTTCTTTGTTGGAACGTGGACCACATCTATAGGGTTTTTACTTTCGCCCCGCCCGACAGCGTCATTTTGTTCCCCCACTAGGCCCAAAAGCATGGAGGATATTCCAAGAATCCAGTCCACCATAAAATATTAACTCTTTCCATCTCAGCACACAGGGTTTTATTGTTTGCCCCGCCAGAAATCCGAGCTTGATCCCATTATATAAACCTGAATAAATTGTTATTGTTAAACAGGGTTGAATACAGGCCATTGTGATTCCCCAGCATCGAAAAGGCACAGCGTCGGCTGTGCACTACGCTGCTCAGCATCCGTCGACAGTAGGCACAGTAAACAGCCGTTGGCAATTCGAGAGGATCTTCTGGGCGCGGACGATAACAAGTTTGGCTCCTTGCCAAGTAAGGACAGCGTGGGAATTTGTCGATAGTATCACGCAGTGCAACAGCAGATCGTTAGCTGGGCAGATCGTTATAATATGAAGGCGAAATTTACCACCAATAAGATAGTTCTGAGTATGTAGCTCAAGAATTTTTTTTTATTCACTCTTCCGATCTCCGCATTTTCTAATAGAACCTGCATGGACCATACATTTTTTTTCGCCCCGCCCTGCGGCCGACAACGATGTTATTGCTTTTATTCTGAGCATGTAGCCGCCCTCCAAATATTTTTTTAACCCTTCCAATCTCCGCATTTTTAATATAACCTAGACTTTACATATTTTTTCGCCCCGCCCAGCGGCAGACAACGATATTTAAGGATAAAAAGGCATAAATCTTATCAAACTCCTCATACCTGCTCGTGCTGTCTAAACTGCTGTCTAAACTCTGAAGTGTTTTTTTATTTAATGCTTGCTCCGATATCGGGTTTTCAAATTCCAAATCTGATTTAAATTCCAAACAAAAACGGATTTTTTTTTTCTGTACAAGTATATACACATAGTTGTTCTTCGCATCTTTGTTGTGCTGCTCCCGTTCTCGCACGCAAGGGAACGGTTGATTAACATAACAAAACCCCCTCAGTGAAGCTTGCTCAAGCACGATCTACGGAACGCGTTCTAAAAGCCGTTCGGCACGGGAAGGAACGGGGGCCGTTCAGAACGGGAAGGAACGCGTGCGCACGCGTGCGAACGGTTAATTTATTTATGACGCCTCGCCTTACCATGGTGCTATCTATAAAGCAATGCAAACTCTTTCTTCTAGCATTAGTGAGCACGGATCTCTATTATATAGAGATTAAGTTAGTGAGCAGCTGAGTTAGCTGGCCACCTGGTGCTTTCTATGGATGCTTTCGAGCGCAGCGATGATCCTATAACACTTTGAAGTACTATAGACTAGAGTTGTGACTCCTTCTGTTTCCTTTCTCTTTGGGCAAACTAACTAGTAATTGACTTTTCTTTAATGCAAACTGCAGGATAAACTATACAAATATTGAATGTTTGTGAGTGCAATGGTAAGAATAATTTCACGAGGTGACGGATAGAATATTCTATTCTATGAGGCGAAGACTGGAACATTCCAACTGTCACCTCAAGAAATTATTCTTTCCATTGCACGAACGTGAAACATTCATTATTTGTTTAACACAACACCTGAATAAATCCTAGTCATCTGATTGGTCAGAGCCGCCAGAAGTGTGACTGTGCAATGGAAGTTCTATTTTTGCCATGCCATGCAGCCGCGCCGTGCATTGGAAGGAATAATTCAACAACACGTGATCAACCATCCACCAATCAGATGACGGGATTTATTCAGGTGTTGTATTACACAGACTGTCCAACCTACCAAAGTGTTTAGGTCCAATGCCCACCTCCTGTAGGGCCAATGCTTGCTCCCTGGTCTGTGGGAACCCGTCTAGTACCCAACCTTTCCTGATGCAATCAAACAGCTTCAGTCTGGTGGACAGCAACTCCACCCACAGGCTGGTTGGAATGACCTGTACATCAGTATTCAAAAGTATGAATGAATCACTCATTTGTGTTTAATCCTTTAGGTCCAAGTTAAAAATATGCAGCTTTTTTAATGAATATAAATCTGTTCCTAATTCGAAATACAGACTGGCATTCATTTTTTTCAATGGATAGGGGCAAACAAAAGTGTGAGTAAGTTTAATCAGGCACTATGGTTGACTAAACATGATACAATAGTTCTATTCATTTTCTTTGAGTACATGTATATGCTAGCGCTAGTCAATGATAGTTCAGTTGGGTATTTGTTCACTTGAGTATTTGGGACTCAGTTACTGATGTATAGCCACATCACAAGCTATCAACAGCTGCACATACATGGAGCCTGGGCTACGAGGCTTCAGGATGAATTCTAACATTACTTGAACTGGAGACATTTACAAGTTAACTATTAGGTCCTTGATCAAACCTTTCAATCTGTTTGTGCCCAAAAGAAAGCTCAAAGCCTTCTTCTGTATTGCAGCGTGTTGCAGACACCCAAATAGAAAATAAAATCAGTTTATTCCTTAAGAATATAACATTTAAAGGTCACAAATCATCAGGGGAAGAGCATGGCCAGTACATTATTAAGCACTGTATGCCTTCTGGATGTATGTCTAGTGCTTTCTGAGAAGTACAGTGTAGTGATGACAAATTTAACTATTTATAAGAGAACAACAACGCCTAACACTTGTCTCTTGCTGAATTTTCACCAAGGGCATCATTCGCTTCTCAAAAGTGGGGGGGGGGGGCATACATATACCTTGATCAGAACTAATGCCAACGTGAAGCCCTAACAATGTGAGGATCAGGACCTGCTTAACGGCCCAGGGAAAATTTTGGATTCTAGACGTTCTGTGGTGCGATCTGAGGCAACTTCTGAACATTTTAACCAAGTTTCTTTTTAGCAAAAGATCATTTAAACATCATTTTCCAGCTCTTTGAGCTATAGAATCAAATGTAGGCCACAAGTTATATTTGAGGACAAAAAAAGTTGGGGGGGGGGGAGGGCCAAACTATATGATATACCCCCCCCCCCTCCCCAGCGATTTACGCCCATGACTTTAACTACCTGGTTTACACATAAAGAGAAATGACAACAGGTTACGTAAAGTACATTAGGATTACAAATTGATTGTAAGGCAAACCTCATTGTTCTTGAGGTGTTCTTTAGCCCTTGCAGCCAGTGATGAGACATCATCAGCTAGTAGTGTATCCTGACTGATGTATGCACTGCGTAGCTTGGCACACACCATACGAGCAATGGTCGTCTTTCCTGAGGCTGGGGGACCGTGGATAATGATCGCTGGAACTGTAGCAAAAACAACACAGGAAGTTCTAAATCAAATCAATTTCTGAAAATGATTTAAATAATGATAATACACATTCACTTTATAGATTCATGACCTAAATCAGAGTAAGTCTGTAAACTCATTTAGCGGTGTGCATTTATGGGTAGTATGGGAACTGGGTACCTGATTGAAAAAAAACCCAAAACACGGGTACCCGTTAAGAAACCCACCCACCACATTGTAATCTCGAAAGTTACTAATCAGATTGTTCATAAAGCACCGTGTGATAATACTTCCACTTCAGTGCATTAATACAGCAAGATACAGGTGTGTACAGTCAGCCAGTGAGGGTAATCATCAGCACCCAGACTTCAAGTGGTCTTAAACAGAGTGGTTAATACCAACCAAGCACATGTTTATTCAAATTTAAAAATACCTTTTCAGCCAAAAAACACAACAAATATTTTGGTCAAAAAAATCCCGATTTGTTCAACAAGTTCACTTCACATTTTTTAAAACACCCCTCTAGCTAAATAATTGAGTGTCCAGCTCGCGAGTAAGATGTAATCAACTCCTTTTATGGACATCGTAATGTCGCGCAGAATGCACCTGGGGCGTTGCGTTGTGAATTTAGGTAGTATTTGCGCATGCCTACGTGAGGATTGTGAACGTTCAACCAATAAAACGGTAAGAGGCACTGGATTTTTAGGAGTCCAAATTTCATGTGACACTGGAAAAGCGTTTAAGACCAGCCAGCCATGTCTTTATCATCCATTTCAGACCGGCCACATGACAGGCTCAGGACCAATAGGAATGGGTAAACTGTCTTTTATTTATGAATGGTTGTTAATATAAATGTGAGGTAAAAAAGGTTGACTAACAAGTTGCTCTTTCACATGTAAAGCAAATAAAAAGAAAACGGAGGTATAACGTTGCAAATAGTGTTGTTGGTCTTTCCTCACCATCATTGTTTTCTTTTTTCAGCTCTTCCAGAAGGAATTCCAAAGGATCCTGAGGTTTTGCAATGATCACGCCTTCTAGCAGCCTCTGGTATATTCAAATGAAGGAACAAAAAGGATCTTTAAATTGAAAAGTAGAAATACATTGTACATATTTCAGAAACAAATTGCAAAGCCAGATGTAACGTCCACTAACGAGGTGGCAAACGGTCCAGCTGTCTGACATCCCGTGTGACGTCACACACGCCCTCAACTGAGGAGCAATGCAATGGATGGCACAATTCCGTAGACACATTTAATTGTGAGTGGTACGTTTATAAGAATTTTTTTTTTTTTTTTCCCAAAATTACCGCTTGTTGGGAACAATCCAAGGGGTCTCATGGAATGTCATGAATGTGTAGATCTATCCAGGGTAACTGTCTTTCTCATTTGTATTCTCTTTATCATTTCCTTTGGGGGGGGGGGGCCTTTTGTCCTAGATTGTATGAAAAAGTGCATACCATGTGTCAGTGATATGACACTGTCGTCAAAGTACGGAGGGTACCGTAGTTCCAGCGCTCCACTCAGTAGAGCTAGGATGAAAATGCACGGTGAACAGAACCAAAGATGCACAATCAGTCCTTCATTTTTAAGGAGCGCGATCGCGCAGGCGCTCCTACTGCGCTCCTCGACTGTCTCGAAGGAGCGCCAAAAATAGCGCTCCTCAGAAATCCAAAAGAGGGCTCGTCAAACACGGGAAGTTGAAAAATAAAAAGTGATAAAAACGCAAAGGATTTTAAGTCTTAAGCTACACGTATTTTTCGTTGGTATAATGCCCAAACTCACGTTGTATATATTGTAATATGCCGCTGGACGTACATCGCTAAAAATGAATGAACACCGAGCTCGTACGTACTGTGTAAGATCGTGTGTGTACAGCCGCGGTTGTATACTGTGCGTGCACAATGCATATCGCATAGAGCTGCATGAAAACACGTGGGCCTGTACGTGCGAGTGCAGCAATGACTGGTTCCCGCTGCGCCGCGCACTAAGTCCCAATGAAGGCATGATGAAAATGCGGTAACCAGTCAATGTAATAGTCGCGCGCGGTGCAATGCACTGCCGTACAGTGTTTTGCGTGCAGGCAAGTTTGTGTCATTTTGAGGCCCTTTTTGTATAGCTTTCGTAGAGCAATTGAAATAGTTCAGGCTGAAAATTTCATATAATTTTAACGAATCTCAAAGCAAATATTCAGTTGCTTTATGTGCCGTTTATTAACTCTCCATTTTCCAAGTATAATCAAGTGATGAACCAACTGACAAAATGAAAGCTTCAACACCAAGTATGGGGTGAATTTTTTTAGAGCAAAGGAAAAAAGTTTAGTGGGAATTTTGCTCACTAAGAAAGATTTTTGTATTTTAAATTTTGAAGTCCGAATTTTTTTTTATCCAAAACCTACAGTGCTATCCGGAAGCTGGACAGAAACAAAATCATTTTGTTTCAATTTTGTTTTCAATTTTGCTCTGAACACCCAGAAATGATCATCAAATTCGACATTTTTAAAAAAGGATTAATACTAATAGAAATTCTCAATTCCTTTGTAAGTTGTAAAAAAAAAGAAGATTCATGCCAAAATAAATAAAGTGCGCCGCGCTAGGGGGCTGTCATCAACAATACTTGTCAATAGCAGCACCGGTTAATACAGTCACACCATGGCCAGTGTATTGTATATAGGCAGTATGAATGCGTTTGCGGAACCGGCCAAATGACCAGCAGTTACTCTGGTGGTGGGTATAGAAAAAAAAATTCAAAGACTTCAAACCTTATATTTGTATGGTGGAATAATGAATAATTTCCGAACAAGTTGCATCTATTGCCATGATTTAATTCCCCTGAACAATCGTGTAGCAGGCCGACAAACATGAAATCACGCTTCCGTGTGCGTTCCATTTCGGCAGTTCGTTAACGGCAAGTGACGGTCGTAGGGGATTTATTTTTAAATGTAAGTGAGTTTCCTAAAACTAAAACCATTTTTGAAAAGTAGATTGAATAACCTTTCCATCGATACCAAAGTTTAAGTCCTTGGCGTTATCGTCTTCCTGAAAATGAGAGCTAGTTTTCCGAAATTGAGGAACCGGTCAAATTGCGGAACCGGTCAATTGACTGTAGCCTATTACTATTACAGATTCCGTATTACACGCTTGAAATTCCCCGCTTGCTGCCACAAATAAAGAGATTTCGCTTTGTTAATCCGTACGGTGGATGATCGTTAGCCGCCAATATTTTTCTTGAGGAAAAGAGTGGTTGGTTAACGGTTTCTTTGCTATTTTTAAGCTGTGAGGGGTGAGTGCTGGGTTGCAAAGCCAAATCCTAGTAGTATTAGGAAGTAGGACGTAGGAGTAGGACTAGGACTAGTAGTAGGAGTATCGTACTCCTAGAACTATGATGCTCGGGTGTGATGCTCCGCGTGAGCATCACAGTTCTAGGAGTAGGAGTATCGAGGATAAAACCGGTCATACTAAAAAGCGTCAACACAGCGTCAACACACTCCAAAGCGTCAACACAGCGTCAACACATCCAAAATGCATCCAAAATGCATTAAAAGTGACAAAAGCAGTATGTAACCTATACATTATGGACAGAAACAAGATTTTGGCTTAAAATTAATAGGTTAAACGTCTGAAAATTGCGATTATCCGTTCAAGAAAATTGGCTCTCCGTGCCGCTCCGAAATCGGCTGTCATGTTGCCTCGGTAGACCATACCATTATGCTAAAGGGTGATAACGTTGTACAATAAACCAACAGAGAGGGCGCGGCCGGCAAATACCAAAAGATGTCCATTTCAATAAAGTATAAAATGAAACTTAAACACAACTCACAAATTAATGATCCACCACTCCGATCCTCAGTCCTTACAGATCTGGTATCCCTCTGTTGTTAATGTTTATGACACGATAATGTCATTACCTACACACCCCTACTTGAAATGGTGTAGTCCAAGCTTTGTGTGAAGTCAAGATGGCGGACAACGGCCGTGCAAGTGAAAGGTCATTTTTTCGCGTGAAAATTACTATATTTTTTACCACGAAATGGAAACTCAATCCAATGGAAATTCTCTTTTATTCTATGCTTTACAATTATATACCATTTTTGTCAATTTAGAATGTGTTTTGGATGTGTTGACGGTGTGTTGACGCTTCTGTCATGTGTTGACGCTGTGTTGACGCTTTTTAGTGCTGTTGTGCCCATTCTTGAAAATCACGCATTCTTAAGAATGTGCATGCACATTCTTAAGAATGTGCAACTGGATCCTTGCCCAATCTTCGCAAAAAATAACTCTTTATATGGGGGGGGGGGGGACCGGGAAAAAATAAGAGACATAATAATACTAGAGGAAAGAATTCTGATTTTTGGGATAATAAAAGCGGGGGGGGGGGGGGGGGGGGAACGTAAGAATGAAGAATGTGAAGAATGAGAATGAATACTGCGACATCCCATAGTGCTAATGCTATTTCCCATTTAAGTTGCCACCAATTTATTGTTCACACCCCACCATTATGTCGCAGAGCTGGATTCTATCTGGTCAAAAGAGCAATTTTGGTAGCTTCTGGACATCGTTTTTTTTTCGTGGCATGCATATGATACATACAGGGACTTGTAACTTGTCTAGCCTAAACAAAGCACTTCCCAGACTAGTTCCCAGTCCTCCGTTATTACAAAACTTCCCATAGTGGGCAGAAAAAAGCAATAATAACAGGTTTAATTTGATTCAAATTATCGTAGTTATACGAGTACAGAAGCATAGAACATTTTCTTTCCTCTTTATATAAATTGTTTCCCTTTAAACCGCTATACATTTCATTTAACATAATTATGTCGTGCAATGTTTGTTAAGATTGGGCAAAATTCATAAATTGTGCACGTGATATTCCCACCCAATCTTAAGAATGAGCGCCCATTCTTAAGAACGCGTGCTCGTTCTTAAGGAATGTCGGTCGTTTCGTACCCAGGTCGTTTCACACCCAGGTCGTTTCGTACCCAGGTCGTTTCATACCCAGGTCGTTTCGCACCCAGGATTCATTGCACACGTGACAAAGGGTTCCAAATCCTTTTCTATTGAACAACAATGCTACTGTCAATCACTCTTGGTGGTTCACGGTACTTGTGTTGACGGCACTGCGGTTTGTTTTGTCTGATTTTTTTAACCTGCCACTGCATGTTTTTTGTTCTTCTTGGAGCTTGGATTTTATCTACCCTGCGGTTTGTGGGTTTTTTGAGCTTGGGTTATGATCGACGATGTTTGTCTTCTATATTGTAGCGTGATTTTCTTTGGTTGCTTTTTTTTCTTCGAAATTGTACTTTTTATAATTATCAAGTTTTGACTTTAATTAAAAAACTATTGTAAGTCATAAAATGCAATTCAATTATTTTTAAAATTTTCAATGTTTGAATCTACCCTGGTGTTAATGTTTTCACTCTTCTATAATTATCAAGTTTTGATTTCAATTAAAAAAACTGTTGTGAGTAATAAAATGCAAATCACTAGTTTTGAAATTTTCAATGTTTTTCAATGTGTTCAGTTTGGCATTGTTTTGGCAGTTATAAAAAAAACACAATTTCGCATTGCATAAAAAATTAGGCTCAATTCTAACCTGTGGAGAAAACAAATTAAATAAATGTAATTTTTTATTAATAATTTATTTCCGTTTTTATTCTGCCTTTGATGCAAATCTTCAAAGGCCAACTTGGGAACTTGACACATCTCTATGATGATGCCGCGCGTCGGTGACTAACAGGAGCGGGTTTGCATGACTGGCTTAATCTCCTTTGTGCATCATAATTGACTGGGTACGAAACGACTTGGGTACGAAACGACTTGGGTACGAAACGACTTGGGTACGAAACGACCTGCTTCGAACGTTTCGGTTCTTAAGAATGGGCGCTCATTCTTAAGAATGCGCGCACATTCTTAAGATTGCGTGATTTTCAAGAATGGGCACAACAGTGCGACCCGATAAAACAAATCCCCATCATGCCCATAGGCCTACCTTGTATAGTTCAAAAAGTCCATGCTTTTCGGCATATGTACCGAACTGGGGAGGAATTCGCAAAGGTTTCTTCGTCTGATCCATGTTGTTAATAACGTTAGTCGTTACTCGTTAGATTTCTCTCTAGTCTTACTTCTCAGTCTAGTCTTGTCTCGCACAAAATGTCAGTCAACGTTGCCAGGGAGTCCGAGCCGGCCGTACTGCCCCGTTCGTGTCAGTTCATTGGTTGATCTTTGGCGAATCAGCTTGGCATAAAAGACGTTAGCCTATTGGCTCGTATTTTCTTAACGATTGAGGGCGCCAAAACTGTAATGGCAGCCTCCATGCAGGAATCGTCATGAAAATTTGTGTTTAAAACAACCGGTTTTAAAAGAAAACTGATAAATTATAAACAGAACTGCAATGTCGATGACTTCGGTAACGCTTTTTTTGTTTCATTTTTCGGCGTTTGTGTAACACTTACGGGCTCCTTTTTCACCTTAATTAGGCCTAGGCCTAATTCACTTTAAAATTAATTCGCACTCGCCAATATAGCAATGCTCGCAGTGGCTATTGTTACGGCAGCCGTAACGCATTTCCCACTTTATATCGTTACGGTACTGCAACTTTATAAAAACATGAGAAGAAAATATAAATTAGAAGGAAAAAAGTGAATTTGAACGTTATGAAATTCGGACTTTATTTCCCTTTTAAAAATAATGCCTCAGGCTCAGGTTAGAAAAGGAAAAAAATTCGAGTGCAAAACTGAGAATGAGATGCGAACCCGCAACCTCGCGGTGTAAAATCCTACCTTCTATCGACTGAGCTGTCGCACTGCTCGCTAAACTATGTGGAAACAAATAATTATATACCTGCGTGCGTATCAAAAAAGTATCGTAGAGGGCGCTAAACAACGACTGCCGTAACGATAGCCACTTCGATCAAAAAAGTATCGTTGAGGGCGCTAAACAACGAATGCCGTAACGATAGCCACTTCGTAATTAATTAAAGACTAGTCTCAAAATGTTCACCCTGTAGGCCTACCATATACCTAGTCCGAGTAACTTGGACCCAACTTATCGCTTTTTTTAACATTTGGACGTGGTCTGGCGATGATACGCCAGACCACGTCCAAATGTTAAAAAAGGCGATAAGTTGGGTCCAAGTTACTCAGACTACCATATACCAATACCCTCCCAACTATCTGGTTCCCTGACGTATTTATTTTAGAACCAGACTACCAACCAAATACTTAATTTCCCTTTTTAAAAAAAACTCTCCCAAAACCACTGCTTTACGGCTGTCGTAACGTTAGCAACTTTGGGAGTAATTGCAAATACACCCGCCACTTGGAAATACACCCCTAAAATCTCTGGCTATGCGGTTGGAATAACTGGAAACTTAACAATTCCATTGCCAGCTATGCGGATACTGAGTGGGGTCCCCTTGAGAACGAAGCAACACAAAAAGAATGAGAGTTGCTGAAAGAATTCTAAGTCCAATGCCAAGTAACCTGTTGCTGGCTACGCGGCTACGGAGTGGGAGTGCAGTGGAGCAAGACGTGTGTAGGCCTAGTACGTACAGCTACCGCTGAGAAGGTTTATTGAGGGCAGTCAACCATGACTCCCTAGCCGGCTACGAGGTGCATAGATTGAGTGGTGGGGTATTCTGCAATTGTGCCCAACTTTGTTCTTTGTGGTGGCCATCTTGCTCTGTGACCAGACAATATACGACCCCTGGATCTTTTTGTCTCTGAATCAGACTATCAAAAGAGTGGTACCCCAAAAAGTAGATTAGTTCTAAGTACAACTAGGTTTGCTTATGATCGGGATGAAAAGTGAATTCAGTCATCGTAGTGGGGGTTGTATACATGTACGTGTACATGCTTTTTGGGAGTGATACCCCGAAAAAAGATTAAAGGGAATATACATCATTTGCTTTTGCTGTAATTTTCAGAAATGGATGGAATTGGGGGGTTGGAAATATATAGCAAATATAGTTACACTGACTTTTTTGAGGTTTTGGGTTCGAAAATGCTATAAAAACCAAGAAAAACATTCATTTTCCTGTAGTCTGGTTCCCTGACTCCATTTAAGAAGAAACAGAGCAGTTTACATGTATTGGGAATTGTAAGGTCAGGGAACTAGTCTAGCTGGCTTGTACCCGTTCATAGGTGTGTAATCGATTGCAAACAAGTGCTATGGTCAACTGGGGCCAATATTTGAAAAAAAGCCATTTTTTTCCAACGCTGATCGGCCGATCAGCGTTGGAAATTGATACAAAAATACCACTTTTCTTGAAAATGACAGTATACCAGGTGCCATGATTTTACAGGATGCTTTACACTGTCATTCACTAACAGTCCAGCAAGGTATTTCAAAATGATTTGGTAGTTTTATTTTTTGATGTTTGCAAATGTTGTATTTTCCCTTTAAAGGGAATGAACATCATTGGCTTTTGCTGTAATTTTCAGAAATGAACTTATTTGAGGGGTTAGTTTAATAGATCAAATATTGTTTAACTGACATGATTAAAGTTTTGTGTTTGAAAATGCTTGAAAAACCAAGAAAAACTAAAACGTTTAAGTAGTCTGGCTCCCTGACTCCACTAAAGATAAAATGGATCAATTTATAGATGTCAGAAAATTGTAAGGTAAGGGAACCAGTCTAGCTGGCCTGCACCCATTCATGAACATGTAACCAATAGCAAACAAAATTTGGACTGAAAAAAAATTGTAAATTTGGAGCAGTAGTTGAAAAACGTTAGGTTTTTCCAATGGTGGTCGGCCGACCACCGTTGGAAATGTATACAAAAATACCATTTTCTTAAAAAATGACTGGACACCAGGTGCCATAATTTTACAGGATGCTTTAGACTGTCATTTATCAACATCCTAGTAAGGTAATTCGTGAAAACTTGGTAGTTTTATTTTTCGATGTTTGCAAATGTTGTATATTCCCTTAAATACTAAGTGCAAGGTTTGCTTATGATCTGGATGAAAAGGAACTCTGGCGAGGAACTCTGTCGCAAATACCTGGCAGATGCGATTTTGAAAATGTCATCTGCGGGCGATATACGTGGCAGAGCCTCAGCAATAAATGGTTAAATTTTTATTCACACTTTTATTTAAGCCTTAAGAGTCAATAAGCATTCCTATAGTAACCTACACACTACTTGTTAGCTTCTCTCTTCAGTATTTTTAACCAAGCGTTTCCTGTATTCATTCATATATTTCAGAACCCTGATGTAGACTCGCACATGCGAAGGAAAAAGAAGAAGAAAAAAAGAGAAAGCAAGTCTGACTATGCTTGGATAAAGACTGAGCATGAAACACAGCTGTCTGGGGCACAGAGTGAAAATGTGGATTTTTGGAAGGTGGAAGACAATCAAACTCAAGATGCTCCCAAGAAAAGAAAGAAAAAGAAGAAAAGGAATGTGAAAACCGAGGATTTAGTGGATGGTGCGTCCAGTGTGGACTTGAACATGGTCTGTGATTCTGACAACTTTGACAGCGGTTATCATCCAGATGGATGCACTCCTAAGAAGAAAAAGAAGAAAAAAAGGAAACACTCTGTTCTTGGGGATGCACAGTCTAAGGAAATCAACAAGAGAGAAATGGCTTCACAGGAAGAGCTTCAAAATTTAGAGGAGGGACGCCCCTTTTCATTTCAGATTGAGCGTCAACCACACAAGTGTAAAAAGAAAAGGAAACAGAAAGAACTGGAGCAACTACTTTCAAGGACACTTGTTGTAGATGAACATGAAACTGACTCCATCTTGTCTGCATCAGATTCCGCAAAGCAAACAAGTGATGATGCAGGCCACAAGAAGAGGAAACAGAAGGTGAAAGGAGACCATTCTCCTCAAACTTTGTGGAAAAAGACAGCTGACATTGAGGCTAAGTGCCAGAAACGGAAGAGAAAAGCTCAGGAAAATCTCAATAAATTAAAAGGTGACAAATACAATGAGTCCAATCATGGTGACTCAGTCACAGAGAGTGTGGGACATAGTGTGCCACAGAAGAAAAGGAAGAAGAAGAACATTGTGATGGACACTTTGCAAACAAGTGGGTATTCAGAATCACAAATTCCTAGTAATAACTTGGACGTCCAGAAAATAACACCTGAAAATGCTCCCAAATCCAAGAAGAGAAGAAAAAAGAAGAAAAAATCAACTTGCTCAAAAGATGGCAACGATGATGCAATGTCAACCCAGTCATCTGAAATGAACAACTGTCTTGTAAAATCAAGACGTAAACAGGTGAAATCTGATTGCTCTGCAACAGCATTGTCAAAGATCTCACTATCATCATCAGAAGAAATTGACCCACCATCCGAAGGTGAACCTTATGAAGCCGCTCACTCAAAGACTAATGCCTCACTGGAGAAACAACAGTTTTTCCCTTCAGCATCAAGGTCCGTGTCAAGTCCATGGTGCTTTGGTGGAAAGGCCTGCCCATCCGAGACGGAGGAGGATAATGCATGGATCAAGGATCTACCTTTCTATTTTAAAGATCCATCTAAGATTGATTTAACAGTAACATCTGTAACACCAAAAGAAGGTAGGCTTCCAACTAGGACATGATTTTCAGACAAAGGGAAAAAGATGACAGTTTGCATGTGATATCAGTCAAGTCATAGCTTTTTTAAAGGGAGTTTTCTCAGGAGAGTGTTTGTCCATAGTAAATGCTGAAAATTGTGTACAATGTACATGAACATATACAATGTAGGCTTTTATAGGAAGGTTGCGCAACTCCCTTGCTTTTGGATTCTTGGCTTGCAAGATGAACACAATGTCTAGGGATGGGTCCAGGAAATTAGCGGGGGGGGGGGGGTATCGTCAGCAAATTATTGCTGAAATGTAGACAGTTTTTTTTTTGTACGGACATTTGGCCTCCATGAAATCAATGGGGGGGGGGGGTGGGGGGGGGGGGGCTCGTACCATACTTTGAATGGGGGCACTGTTCAAATCTGCTGATTATTAATACTTGAAAAAAAAATACTTGATTATTAATACTATATTACAGAATAGTGTACAAATACCCCCGAAACTAGCTGGCTCTGTACATAATTTGTACACAGGCGGACACGGGCGGATTGGGGTGTGGGGGGGGGGATTCACATTACTTTGAATGAATTTCTTAGAAAACATTTATTTTTTGACAGGGGGGGGTGCTTGTTTTTGGATGCCCAAACCCCCTCCCCCACCCCCTGGATCCGCGCCTAACGTCTGTGTCAGCAGTGTTTGCACAGATTGCTGATCTTAAGCATTTAATTTCAGAGCCTGCATTTAAGTATAGACTTGATGCACCACTTCACCCTCAGCAGTTAACATGAAATCAATAACTGAGTCACATTACAAGAAATATTGCCTGATCCAGTGAAATCAAGCAGGTAGTCAGTCAACCCTGGCTGTTTGTGCTGTTTGTGCTGGATAATAGTCACATGTCCTTTTTCTTTCAGGAGTTGTGTTGAACAAAGGAAAGTGGACTGGTCTGGAGGACAGGATCCTCCAAGCAAATGTTGACAGCTTCTGCAAAGTGAGTGGCAATGAGTGTCTGCGTTTCAAAATTGAAAAGGAGCTAAGGCTTTCAGCTAAGAGATTCATTTGGAAAGACCTGTTTATGTACATTTCAAGTCATTTGTGCCATTTTTTTTTTAAGTTTGTCGAGTCAATATATATGGCTCATCAGGCTGGCATTCTTCCACAGTTTCCCATATTGGCATGCCAGTCCATCACAGGTTGTTCCTAATCTAACACTGAGTGGCCTGCCCACAGACGTTATTTGTAGACAGCAGAAGGATTCAACCCCCTGGCTGTGTTGATCACAAGTCAATAACATCCCCTCCCTTTAATTGTACCAGTGTTTCCCACCAGTGGTAAACCTCGGGCTAGCCCTTGGAATCCTGACATCCAGAACTCAGAGGAATGGTGTTTTTTTAGTGAACCAACATGTAAGTTTGGGCCCAATTTAAACAGCTGTATGTGCCCATCAACAATCAGCCGAGAACCCTTGTCTTTATGACCAATGAAATCAACAGAGAGCTCATAAATATGTATTAGCTTTGATTATTGTGCTTTCTTGCAGCAATATAACATCAAAGATATTAAGGAGGTGATACTTCCACTCCTGTTTGAAGAAAGGACACAAATTCGCAGGTTCCTTCGTCAACACAATTATATTCTCCGACTCTGTAAGTGAATTGTCTGCATGTGACTGAGTTTCATAAAGTTTGCCCAATTTAGCAACCCTAACTTTGGCACAATTTGGAGTATACGTAAGCAATGCCAGTTACAGATACATGTACATACATTTATACATAAATGCATGTTGATGTATAAATGTTACGTTTAATACACACACATTTTGAAATAAAAAAATAATCAAAGCTTCTTTACAAATGTTCCCACATGTTTAAATGGAACCCATATTTAAAAAAAAGGTACGTTTTCCTTGTTCTGGCCTTGCTTATAATGTGTAATTAAAAAAACCCATTTCATTACAATAAAAAAGTTTTAGAGGAGAGAAGTGCATGATGGGAAGAACTTTAGTGTGTGTGAAAAGCATTGATTCAGTTTTCAATTTCAATTTTCGTTAAAGGCAGAGGACTCAAGCGGTTGCCTCTTGATGTTTACGTCAGGTCACGGAAGATCTGTGATGACCGAAACTACAAAGGAAAGTAAGTTTGCCAGTTCAATTGGTCCTGGTCAGTAGTCAGTATATAAACTAAAGCGTGTTTTCCCGAAATCTCCTGCTGCAACACTAGGTTCATTGCCCTCCACACAGTACGTCATACAGTGTTGGCCAGTATCCTGTCGTGACTAGCGTTGTGCATAGTGGTGTGCACGACCTGAATTTTCGATTATTTTTAAGAATTATAAAATTTTAAGAACTGTAAATATGTTTGACATTGACCAATTCACGCAGGAGGCCATACACGCTAAAGTTTTGCGGTATTCAGATGACGACATAAATGCGCAGGGAGCACAGCCGAAAATATTTGTCAACGACCCGCTGACTCGCAGCGAGTGAGGCTGAAAATATGAGTGTGTTTACCGAGGGTGATGGCTTCAACCAACCTGGCTTGTGGTCGAGTGAAAAGTAATCCCATGCCTCGTTCCATTCTTGTTAAAATAACCCCGGCGTGAACTGGTTAATTAAAGCAAGTTTTTATCAATTTTGTGGCCAGTTTTTTTTTATAGCTTTCTTAGTGCAAATGGAAGTAGTTCAGACTGAAATTCGCATTTAATTCAATACCCCATTCACAAAAAAAATTTGCAAACAAAATTTTGTTTGGGCGTGAGCTTTCTATTGATACCTTATTTGAATCTCAGCATTCACGAAGGACATAGTGCCATTGATTTCAAACTCACCAGAACCTTCACTCCTCCAGCTGTAACCATAGGCATTGTAAGACAGGTATAGCATTCAGCCAGGCACTCAGACTCAGAAGGATTTGTTCTAATGATTCTGATTTCTCCCATCATGCACAGGTATTGAAGAACAACTTGGTTGCCAGTGTCCTCCCCAATTATCACCTTATTTGACCCCTTTCACAGTTACACTCATACACGCATTTCTGACATTTCTGTTGGTCACCACTTTGTATTTGAGAGTCAAGTCCGAGATGGGATACACCGTCGACGTATCTGTACTGTTGACGACTTTATCGTCATCGTTATATTTATCTGGTACATCAGAGGTTGGGATAAAAAGGTTGATGCGGGCGTTTTATAGTTTGGTCAACCCCGAGATTTGTCTATTGTGAATAAGCCATATACACAATTATGTCTTACCAATATGTTACTGCATTATTCTTCTCAAGATACACAGAAGAAGAAATATCAGCTATCATGAAGCTGAGGAAGGTGTATGGGCACAGGTGGACTCAGATTGCTCGACGGGTTGACCGTTCAGGCCAATCTGTGCAGGACTGGTACCGCAGTAGACCAATGCAAGGACACAGTAAGTTTATCATTAAACAATTTGTTTTTGCTCGCTAAAAGTTGCTGTAATATTCCATAACTAAATGTGAGCGAAATGTGAGTTATTGGCACAATGTAGCAAAACAATATTTGACTGCTGTGATGTGGGATATGACCTTTTTACCCCCCCCCCCCCCCCCGGCACTTAATACCCTTGGCTTCGCATCAGGTGCTATGCGCCCCGTGGGTATTAAATATATCCCACATCACAGCAGTCAAATATTGTTAAATATAAGCCTGTGTGGTACAGCATGATTGATTGTAAAAACTAAGTATAACTGAATAGACTGCTACAAATGCTTTGACCAATGTTATACAGACCAATGTGATCAATGGAATTTCCCTGGCAGGGTCTGACAAATGGAGCAAGAGTGAACAGAGGCAGTTAAGGAGCGCAATCATGGCTGCGACTAAGACAGATGAGGAGGATCTCCTGCACCAACTGGTTGGTATCCCATGGCGAGAGGTTGTCCCAAAGGTTCCCACACGCAGCAGAAGTCAGTGCATGAACCAATGGTGAGTGCCTCCAATTCAATCATAAGTCACTCTAATGTGGCAAGCTTTGAAAAATCAAAACAAACTCTACCTGTCTTCACCACAACATACAACCCAGCCATAACACACCGTGACCTAAATTGAGCAATAAACAAGCACTGAAACATATTCCAAAGCAATAAGCTACTCTACGGAAACATTTCCCAAATCCCAATTCATTGCCTTCAGAAAGGCCACCAAAACATGAGGGAGAAACTACCACAGCAAAATCAAGAGCTAAACCCACTCCCAACAAACTCAGGCCTTTTCGAAAAAACCAACCGAACCTAACAAAACCCGCAACATATTGCTCTCCTGATCAGAGGAACAAACCGGAACCAACTGAAATCATTAGCTGTACTCGAAACACTCGAATGCTACAAATCTGATTGGAACATATACCCAATCCCAACCACAACTTTTCCGCGAGTCGGCTTCGATTCTTACTTGAATCACCAATCTGCAACTGAAGAGTGCCCAACAGCAAGGCACGAAAGCATGCTATTGCTAACAAGAGGATTTGCGAACATAATCCTCTGCTCGCACCATTAATCACATTTGATTACCCAACCTATCATAGTCACTCAATCTCTTATGTCCGCCCACTCTACATTTCACTCGGACATAACCGGCAAAGACTCAGTCATGCTTACAACCCATACTAAGCCATACAAGTCACCAGAGAAGAAGTGTCACTGAATGGGACAGTGCCACCCCTTTTCCAAACTTTTATGTCTTTTTTATGTAAGGGCATTCTTTTTTGGTTCATTGGTTGTCATTTCTGACTGGCCCTTTTTGATTACTGCAAATGCTGTCTGGAACCCTCACTAACGAAAACGTTAATGAGGAAAAAATTGAATGTCAAATGCATGCAATCAGGCTCTGTGTTGTTTAAACAACTTTTGAAAATAATAACCAATTTTACTTGAAGAATTGCGTATATACATAGCTGCCAACTGTTACGAATTTTTCGTAATTATTACGAATCGTTTGTTAAATTACAAAAATACGATTTGCCACTAAAACATTATGAATTTCCCATTTACTACCTAATGAAAAATACTTGTAAAGTATCGTTTTTGACCGAAAACTTCTGGCGAAATGTCGCGATAATGGATGGACTGGTGACAAGTCTAATAAGAATGCAGTCAAGCACCGGATAGACATCAATGCAGGGTGCGCAGTGGAGTACTTGAGGACCAGACTAAAACTATTTTTCAATGGTGTGTCATTTGGGGTCCTACTAAAGCGCGTCAACAAGCGTCAACAAGCCTCAACGCGACGGTCGTCAACGAGCATCAGCAAATTTTGTATAGGCTTTTGAATAATTAAAAACAGCTTTATATGGTAGAAAAAGCAATAAAAAACATCTTCTGCATATCAATTAAAGTTAGAATTATTCTAAAACTTGTTTTTTTGAATGCGAAATGTTCGACGATTTTGTTGATAAAAGTTGGCCGCCATCTTGTTTATGTGTAGCTAGCCGTACTACGCATGCGTGAAGTGTACAGAGCCATACTACGCATACGCGAAGGATACAGCGCCATCCAAACAAGATGGCGGCCAACTTTTATCGACAAATTTGTCGTACATTTCGCGTTCAAAAAAACAAGTTTTAAAATAATTTTAACTTTAATTGATATGCAGAAGATGTTCTTTATTGCTTTTTCTACCATATAAAGCTGTTTTTAATGTTCAAAAGCCTATACAAAATTTGTTGATGCTCGTTGACGACCGTTGAGGCTTGTTGACGCTTGTTGACGCTTGTTGACGCGCTTTAGTAGGACCGGTCATTTGTGTGCATCTCCTGGTTGTGTGTACTGTATGTGAGTACTTTTCAGTGACGATCGTGAGCACATTTGGTCGCTTATTGCCGGGATGAGACCCATCAGTGCGAGATTTTAATCATGGAATTTAATAAGAGTATGGTTGGAATAATTGGTAATAGAGTTTGAGTTTGTCACAATGTCCAGAAAAGATAAATCAGCATGCGTTTGCAAGGTACATGTATGTTGGCGGGAGATTTCTATTGCATACGGTGGCCCTAAATCATTGTGTGTAAAAAAACATTGATACGAACTCGAAACTCCACATCGATAGCATGCATCTCAAAAAAAATGTGCGCACATGTTATTATTGTTATTATTTATTTGACTTCAACAAACAAATACAGACATTGAAACAAAATTAATTTTAAAAAAAAATCATTAAATTTTTTTTTTAATTTTTTTAATTTTTTTTTTTAAATTATCTTTTGGCCTACAGTACATTATTATTCACAACAAGAAGGGTATGCACATGTATGTGTACATGTAAACCATGTACCTGTTCTCGATGTTGGTAAAGCTTTTGATAAAACGAGCAGTTGAAAATGACCGCGCGGGTTGATTACTAATTGGGATTTTGAAAAGTTGGCAGCTATGTATATAAAATGTAGCAACCAATGCAATTGCAGAATTTGCAGTGGCATTGCCTCTCAACTATCAGGGGTCTATAGTTTACAATTACTGTTATGTCATGGCTGCCACTGCAGCTAAAACATTAGTGAGCTGCATAGTGCAGATAGAAGTCCACTTCATCTTGCCAAATTTACTTTATTCTTTTGTTCAGTGATATCAACTCATGGTAATCTCCTAGCAATAAAGAAAACATTTATTTATTTTGTGTTTTGTTAACTTGTAGGAAGCATAACTTGTGCTGGAGTGTTGGGGACAGAACCAAACGCGATTGGACACCTGAAGACTCAGTTGATTTGATTGAAAGGTGAGAGTTGTTGTCAAATCAATCAAAAATCAATCATGTCAATCATATGTCAAATACAAATAAGGGCATGGGATAAATAGTGACAAAAGGAATGCCTTTGAAACTGTTCCCAAAATGTACAAGCTTCAGGTTTTCAAGTATTCCTACTTTTCCTACTTTTTCCTTGTTTTTTTACCTAGCCTCTAATTTCCTACTTTTTGTCTCAAAATTCCTACTTTTTCCTACTACAACTCCGAAACATGAAATCTCATAGAATATTTTTTAAAACAGTGTTACACATTGTCATATACAATTCTTGCCAGTTGTGACAGGGTCTGTGATGTTTTGCACACCTGAGGATGCCATTTGCCCCCCAGGGTGTACAAAACCCATGAACCCCGTCACAACACGCTACAATTGTTTTGTTATACTATGGTAATAGATTACAGCTGTCCAATTCTGTCACTGGTAAGGTTTGAACTGTGGGTCTCTTTCTGTTGCAGTGCAGGAGCATGTTTTGGCGGCCCTTGAACTGGAACATGTTTCTGACGTCACAGCCGTGACCTGAAACATGTTTCCTGTGCACCGCGAAAACGACTGACCGGAAAATTGTTCATGACGTCATGTTACTGCCTACGTGATTGCACACAACCCCCAAAAAATCACACAGCGACCGAACATGATTAACAATAACATTCAAAGCAAAAATGGGAGGTTTTTCTAAAAAGAAGGGAGGAAGTTCTAAAAAGAGTAGGCCTGATATTCTTTATCAACTTTCGTACCAATTGAAGGTAAAAACCCACTATTTAAACCCCATTAATGGTAAAAAGTAACGTCGTCTGCTAAGCTTGTTTACCTTTCCGCCATCTTGAAACATAAGTGAACTGACTGGAAACTTCGGTTCAACTTTGGTCGAAACAATGACGTCATTTCAGTGTAACCAAAGCGCCAAAACGGCCGCGAACCAGAAACATGTTTACGGTCACAGTGCCAAAACGTGCCCCTGACTTGGCCAACTTTTCGCACAGAATTGTCTGTAGTTTTCTTCGTGCTGATGCTGTCCTGTTCAACAATATCTCACAGGAACATACATGAATTTATGTACTACCAGCGTAGCTACAACCTCGTACCCCAGGTCACACTAATATAATACAACACTGTGGAAACGACACTTTCAACAGCGGGAAAGATCAACGTAATGTACACCATACATCACTTATGTACCACGCCATACAACCACTAATCTCTATATAAAGACTGGATAGCGGATATCCATACAACATTCACACAGTAGACTTTGCATATTGACCAATTCATCCCCGGTCTCACGAAGATGGCCGCGTATAATACGAATGTTCTACGCGTATATACACGCGCATTGTATTAACAGTTGACGCGCATTTTGGTCGAGTACACATATTATGATGATCTAAATTGGACACATTTCCGTAGTCATTATTATTTCCAAAACGCCGAAAAAGGGAACTGCGGCATTAAAAAAGTAAACCACGATTTAGAGAAATTGCAAACCTTGGTCAGTAGTGGTGGTCAAAATATAAGTCAAATTAACCGCGATGTTACAAAAGAAATCTGCTGTCTATAAAGACGGCAACTTGTCCTTTGTAGATCACCAGCCGGTCTCACCGGTCTCACCAATATGGCGTCAAATTCATTCATTGTGCGGCTCTTTATCCACTATCCAGTCTTTATATAGAGATCATTGCATAAAACGTTCATGTGTTTTTGTGGCATGTCACGTGATCCACTCTCGACCAATACAAATTTACAATCCATTACCGTGGTATAACAAACAATATGTCAATCACACAATGAAGAGCTGGGGCGCAGGAGTACTGAACTGTACTTCCAAGAGCTTAGTTGGGGATGGAGCAAAAGTCCTACTTTTATCCTGATTTTGTCCTCCAAAGTCCTACCTTTGTCCTGTTTCTATTTTGAAAACTTTGACCTTTTTCACCTGGCTCTGTTTGAAAGCCTGAAGGTTTAATAATCCAGTTACACAGGTTCAAACATTGAACTTTTCAAAATCCCCCATTTCACATGTTGATGTGTAATATCTAAGGTGTATTTTTATGGGGTGAGGGATTTGTACCATATCAGGGTTGGACCTTGACTTTATGTTCTCTAGCCAGAGAACAAATCTTGTCAGTGTTTTCAATAAACAGATCTCATAATTTAACCCTAAACAGTTCATAATATACATCTTTGCTTTCTGAATTAAATGATTTATTTCTTCCTGTCCTTTCATCTTTGCTGTAGCCCATAATGTTTGACTCGTCAGCCAGGCTACTTGAGGAATAGTTTGACTAGCCTGCCGCTGTTTTGACTAGCATTTGGCTAGCGGGCTACTGCCAAAGTTGCACCCTGCATATTGACTTAGTTCACAAGTACCCCCCTCAATGGTGAAAATGACAAAAAGATTGTTATACCACGGTAATAGATTGTGAATTTTATTGGTCCATCATCGTGTCATGCCACAAACATAGGTGTACAGCAATGTGCGCCGTGTGTGCGTGGTACATGAGTGATGTACTCCACAGGGTACATTATTAACTTTTTCTCTCCCGCTGTTGAAATGTCGTTTCTACCACATTGTAGTATATTTGTGTGACCTCGGGTATGAGGTTGTAGCTACACTGGTACTAGGTAAATCGATGTATGTTTCTACGAGATGTGCCATGGGGGACAGTGAAGCAATATTTCTGCTATGACGGCTGATATTGCTTACACTGTTTGTCTGCTCTTTTTTTTAACGGCGCAAATTTTGCCATAATTTCGCCGTAATTTTACAGTAATAATGTTGGCAGATGACAACAGTTTGCCTCCAATTAAAGAAGAGTTTTCTCTCTCATTCCAAAGACAGAAATTTGATTTTTGAACGAGACAGCATCGGTACGGAAAATACTAAAAATTCTGTGTTAAAAGTTTGCCAATTCTGTACCGCAACAGGAAGAGACCCACAGTCTCAGACATTAGTCATCTACTATCGTGGTATAACAAAACAAATGTTGCCTACTGTGACTCGCATGCAAATGGCACCCTTGGCTTCGCCTCCATGCCATTTGCCCCCTCGGGTGTACAAACACCATGGACCCTTGCCACAGCAGGCAACAATTGTATAATGTTGATAATGAAGGACACTGAATCCCCATTGCTGACTGGCGTGCTTAGTTGCACTTTTCTCATGTGCAGACACTATAGCTCTATGCATGTATAAAGTGAAAATGGGTTACGTGCATATCACATTAGAACTAGCCAGCTGACCCCAGCAATCTCGGTGGTGGTTGCGTGGTAAGACAGCTGCACTAATCAGCAGGAGGTCATAGCGTAGAGTCACACCTGAGTATTGCTTGTGATTTTTTCTTGCAAGCCCTCAGGCTACACTGAATCTACAGTGTTTCTAAAAGTCATGTCAGGATGGGCAAGGCAAAACCAAATATTACATTAAAAATTTGTTGTGTATCTTGTGCCATACATTGTAGGTGCACATAAGCATTGGCGAGTGTGCAGTATATCCTTCACTTGCTCATGTGAGTAGTCCTCACAGAGTCCACACATTGAATGCTCATTTTGCAATCAATATCAATGACTTGACTGTCTTTCTGTGCAGTGTGTATGCCCTTGATGTCAATGAGGAATTTGAAATAGACTGGGTCAAGATGCACAAGAAATTCTGGGAAAGGTAAGCTGGGGTCAACAAACTCTCTGACCAACATGGATGTTGTCAAAACATACAAAGTATTGCTACAGCCAATTCAAGATGGAATGAGGCATTTACTGTGTACAAATATAACAACACACATTTGCAAGTCAGATCATTCATTAATTTTTTCCATATTTTGGAGTTGAATAACATTAAATTCTTCACAAATTATTTATTTCAAAATGCACATAAAAACATAAAAAATACCAGTCTACAAGAGACACTTCCAAAACTCAGAATTTTTTTCCCCATACTCATAAATGCAGAGAGAAGAGTGAACAGGCCACAGTATACATGTAATTAAACTATGAACCACTTAACAAGTAAAGTATACATGAACCAAGCAAATGCTGAACAATAGTAAACAAAGATCAAACGAGCATTGCAATTTGCATTTTAAAAAAATGATATATGTTTGTATTAGTCCAAATACTGCCTTAGTCATTATCTCTCTCAGATACGGTGTCAGAGAGGGTCAAGTATGTTGTGATGACCTATGATATAATCTTTGTCAATTAAGTTTGATATTTACACAAGCACAAATTAGCAAGGAATTCATGTGTACATGTACTTGAGAACCAGATCAAGCATTGAATGGCTAATGGTAATGGAGCCATAGACACTAGTTTCAACACAGCCTATGACACTGTAAAGCCCCTCAGTAAGGGTGAAACCATTGTGTTGAAGCTATTGCATCATAATTGTGCAGTGCTAGATGTGGCCTCGTGGGCCGGAGTATTGATTCTGTGTCTGTGAACAAAAGGTAAACAAAACAGACTTGATCTTCCAGCCAATTTTATAAAGAGATACCGGTAGGGTTGTGTCCAGTCTCACAAAGCATCAGCGTTGTAGTAGTCGAGTTCATTCACAAGTCCTTTCACAAATGCTTTTACAATTTCAATCACAAGTAATGGAATGAACAGTGAGAATAGGAATGCTTTTGTTTCAGGTCATTTGAATAGCTGATCGATGGACTCTACAATACTGCAATACTGCTGCTTGCTAAAACTTATCCTTATCTTTTTCTTCAGGGCACCTTCCCCTGCCAAATTATCCCTACAGTGGTACACTCTCAAGCTGAAGCATCTCAAGAACTGGCACTTCATGACGTTTGAAGGTTAGTCAAACTTTGCAAATGTTTCTCTCATCCTTTCTGCCAAATGTTGCCTGGTACCTGTCCTTCGTTGATTTGCAAATGTCATGCAGTTTTCTTCCTGGAAAAAATTTGGATATGAGAAGGGAACAAATGTTGGTGTTGAACTTGCACTTAAGACCTGTGAAATGGCACTGTGAATGGCACTGTGCCACCTTGACCTGCATGTACATTTCAAGATTAGAAATAGCTAGGGCTGTCTCCAATATGTCAAATATTTGAATATGCGATCATCAACTGAATATTCAAATAGTTTTTTTTGACGGTTTGAATGTTCCCAATGAAAAAACTATGCACGTGTACACACGACTGTGATGTTATTGTAATTGTAAAGTTGCGTTTTTTAATTTTCTGATGCCACTTTTTTGTGGACTGTATAGTTTACTATACTTTCTCTTTATACATGATTGCTCTATACTTGTTGTACGTTCAGTGCACTATTGTGGTACTTTTGTAGTGCTCAGTGGTCTTGTGGCAAACTGGAGTGCTGAAAGGGAGTGGCGTCCCTTGCCTCAGTGTGATGACTACAGTCATTGAACTGAGGCAAGGGACACCACCTGGCTGGCCAGTGTATTATAAGATGCTAGAAAGCGTAGGAATTGGTCTCGGGAAAATCCCTAATTTCGCCCTTGAAAAGTCATGGAAAGTCATGGAATTTCATTTGAAGATTTCTGTGGGAACCCTGTCTCAAGCACTTAATTTGTTTGTGTTCTCTTTAATTGCAGAGATCTTGGATGAGTTGTATCACAAAATCCTTCCAATATTGAAAGAGCGTATCCAACAACGTATCCAACGACGGATCCAACGACAGGAAGCCCGCCAATCCCGATTCAAATCCAAGGAGTTCATCAGTGATACAGAGGAGGATTCCTGCTCTGACAACGAGTGGTATTAGGCATTGCTATGCCCAAACCCAACTCAGAATCCTATTTGCCCAAATTGGTATTTTCTTTCTAGGAATATATTTACTGATTGTGTCAAATGTTGAATTGAGTTTATTGTGATATTGTTTGAGTGAATACATGCTGGGATTCAAGGATTTCATTGCTGATTGTAAAGAGGACAGTGACCATAGTTTAGACGAAGAAGTTAATGTCCAGATCCAACTCGTAATCCTAAAAATTCAACTTGGAATCATCCTTCATGTAGATCATTCAGTGATTTTTTTTCAGATAAAGAATTACGTTGATTGTGATTTATCAAGTGATTGTAAGTTCAGAGTTGTAACGAGTCACTGATTTTTGTGACTCGAGTCGAGTCATTTTAAAGAAGTGACTTGAGTCGATCATTAGGTCAAGAAGGTTGAGTCGATCGTCAAATATATAGCTGGAGTCAATTCGAGTCAAATTTATTTCAAATAAATTTAGCCGGCGTTCGAATCCAAGAGCTAAATAAGAAATCGCCCAAAGCCACTGATGAAACAACGAATTGCAAAAGTGTTTAAACTCCTTTTTCTTGATAGTATTCTGTGTGTTCTAGAACCATGAGTTGGGAGTCTGTGACACGTATGTTTGTACATGACAAGCAGCTGCTGTGTTGTACTGTATTTGCAAAGTGATGTGAACATCAAATTTTGCACCGTAAGTCATTGCAAATCCTTCGCAAAGTTAAGCTATTATTTTTGGGACTCGAGTCTTATTAGCCTTTTTTAAAAAGCACTACCAAATAAAATTCCTCATTTTCTCTCATTGACTTTTTGACTACATCACATACACAGTTATGCCATTAAGTGGCTGACAAAGTTTTGGCAGTCATCATCACAAATCTGGAGAAGAGTCCACGGTATATTTTGTCCTTTGTTTGTTATTACTTTCCCCTTTCACGGTCTAGATCCCCTCCTGCATACACCACCCTCATTCGTTCATTAATTCATTCATTCATTTATTCAGCCAGTCAGAGTCGGTTCCTAGTTGCTCTCTTCTACTGTTTTTTTTTTTATACTTAATATGTTTTGTTATTTTATGGGTTTTTTTGTTTTTTGTTTTTGTTTTGTTTTTGTTTTTGTTTTTGTTTTTGTTTTTGTTTTTGTTTTTGTTTTTGTTTTTGTTTTTGTTTTTGTTTTTCATTTTTTTTTATTGTCTATGTATTTATTTATTGATTTGTTGGATAGTTTGTTTGTTTACTTCTTTATTGGTTCTTTTTTGTTTTCCTTAATGTTCATGTATGTTTTTTTTTTTTGGTCATATTTGGTTGTAAGATTTGTCCTGGTGGAATGAATAATGATAATAATAATATTCAATAAGAACAAGTATGTTTAGCCTGAACAAAATCCATACAAAGCTTTGTGTCTCTGTTTTTTCAAGTGCCCTTAGTGTTGTAAGATTGTGCTTCAGATGTTGGAAAACAACTACTCTTCCCGGTCACCCGAATAATTATAACAGTTTGGAAATAAATTGCCTTAGAACAGATGTTGTGGAAAGCTCAGTATTTTCTTCACAGTTAGCAGATTACGTTGTAAGCTTCGAGAAAAAATGGACGAGAGAATTATAACTAACAAGTTATATGCTCTCCCTTTACAGCTCGTCTCAGCCCAAGGGCGGATCCAGAACACAATTTTTTTTGGGGGGGGGGCCAAAAAAATTTTGGTCCCCCCAAAAAAGTGGGTCAAAAAATTACGGCGTGGGGTTCGGGGACCGCTAAAGGGCCCCGAAATTTTTTGGATTCTAGATGCTCTGTGGTGACCTGAGGCAATTTCTGACTACTTTAACCAATGTTTTTTTGAGGAAAAGATGGTGATGTACTCATTGCCTGCCTTTATTGCGATGTCACATAAAAAATTTTAAAAAATGGTTTCGTTTTTTTTGGGGGGGGGGGGCCATGGCCCCCTTTGGCCCCCCCCCCCCCCCCCGGATCTGCCTATGTCTCAGCCAGAGAGTGCATTGTGTCTTGAACTAGAAAACTAACTTACACAGTTAACTAGAAATAACAATCATTAAAAGATACAGAAAGTTAAGATTTTTGGTTATTTCCAAAAAGTTGAGACATGTACTAAATTCAAAAATCAAAAATGTATAAAATTTTGTTATGTACTATAATGTTCACTTTTTAATGGCTGTGTTTATTGAAGACTTTGTTTACATTTCAAGCACGGGATGTAAATAAATATGACGTAACAATTAAAAAGCTGAGTTTTAGGGTTTGTTCTTTAATCTGTTCTATATTGGGATTCAAAGAATCTGCATTTTGGATATGAATATTTCCTGTATTGAGGGATAGAGGCTTAATAAGGAGTTTCATGTCTTAAATATAGTATATCGAAAACCTTTAAGAATCCAGTCTGCAAACAGAAATGTCCGAGTTTACTCAATATTATTATCAACTGTAAAAATCTTGTCGATGGAGGGCGCTAGATTTTAAATGGCAGCCTCCATGTACCGCCTCCATCCCTTACCATGCGGAATGAATGGGATATGATCGTGTAAAAAATGTAGCGCTATTGTCTCGTGCAGTTAGTTTGATAGAACTAGAAGATTTGTGTATTTTATAGTTGTGCCCAAGTGGAGGCTATAATTAAAACTCAATAAAAGCTTTCAATCATGGACGCGGACGAAGACGACGGTGGTCTTATGCTCAACCTCGTGTTTCCCGAGAAAAAGAAGACGGTAGGTATAGCGAATGTTGGACAACTCGTACCCGAGACAACTCGTACCCGAGACAACTCGTACCCGAGACAACTCGTACCCAAGACAATTCGTACCCGGGAAAACTCGTACCCGGAACAACTCGTACCCGGGACAACTCGTACCCGAGACAACTCGTACCCGTCTGAAAATAAAACACTGCAGCGTACTCGTATCTGTCATGTCTGTGCCTTACTTGTGCCGACTGTTATCATACTTATTTTCAACTAATTATTATTCAATTATTTTATTTCCGTTCTTCATTTTTAAATAGAGAAGAAGTTTTTCATTTAAATAGGTCTCTCTGTTGTTGGCCTGAAGATTTTGTTTTTTTTAATACTGTTTTAATTATGCAAAAGACTGACACGCTACTGGGATTGTTGATGGTTATCAAAATTAATGTCATAAAAAGTGTAGAACTAGAAGGTGACATATGTAACATATTTATAATTTTAAGGCAGTGTATATTTTGCCGGAGACGGCAAACCTTTAGTAAACGTTAGTTTGCCGGATATACAGTGAACATGCGCAGTTACTGTTTTTTTGTACTTTTTCTGGTGACAAGTTTTAGTCTGGCTCCATGCCAAAATTATCGTTGTTACCTCGTTTTCACAAGATGGGATTCAGACCATTTTATAATTTCGGACTTTATTTCCCTTTTAAAAAAAATCCTCCAGAGCCACACATCTGAAAAAGAAAATGTAGGCCTAATACTCTGCAAAAACTGTTTGAGACATGTTAAAATAATAAAAGAAGAATATTCTTATTTATTTGGGGATGAGAAAAAAAATTTAAAAATTGTGGTGCGGTCGGAATCGAACGCGAGTCATCCCGCTCACTAGACATGCTAGAGCCTTTGCTTAACCATTACACCAAACTTGCTACACAACTTTTGGTGGGAATTTAATACATCTTATAATTCAGCCCTATTTTAAAAAGTACAGCGCCCTCTGTTGATATGGATTGCCGCCGGCAAACCTTTAGTAATCGTTAGTTTGCCGTCATTACCTCCGGCAAAATATCCACTACCTAATTTTAATGAATCGGTCCACTTATTTTAGAAATAAATTTTAGCAATAAATGAAGATCAAATAAGTTACGAAGCTCATGATTGCTATAGCTCCTTCCGCGAATTCAGGGAACTCCGCGATCATCGGCCAGCTGCCAGAATCTCTCCAGAACAATCTCTTGCTTGTCACCACTGGCAATTCCCCAAAACTCAACGGCTTTTGGTTTTCCACATCTTCGGATTTGTCAATTACATCTAACTAAAAAGGAACAGAAAAGTAAATGGTAAGAAAAGAACAAGGTAAGAGTCGTCCCGGGTACGAGTTGTCCCGGGTACGAGTCGTCTCGGGTACGAGTTGTCCCGGGTCACAAATTTGGGGTACGAGTCGTCCCGGGTACGAGTTGTCCTGGGTACGAGTTGTCCCGATACCGGTATAGCTGTTTTACAGTCACCTCGCCCTCAACATGCTCAACCACCCACCCACAACCATGACGACCACTTCGCCCAAGCGCCACTTCGCCCACGTCTAGTCTAGTCTTTGACATAAAATAGGGGGGCGTATGTCATATTATTTTAATAAGGAAGCCTCTCCCCCCTCCCCGCCCCATGTCATCAAGATATCGTCGTCTGATGAAAAGATGGGTAATCCTTACTAAGTTTTAGGACACCTCTATTTTTTACAAGTTCTGTTCAAAACTGACTTTTGCAGATGACTGTCCAGTACCAAAGTGACTTTTGCAGGCTAAAGCAGTCGGAAAGATTTCCATATATATACGAAGTTCACTAATTTTCCTCTGTATTGACTAACAAGCCCCCAAATAGCAATTTCATGTCATCAAAGTCAATTTGAGCAGTGAGAAAATACAAGCATTTTCTTAGAAAACACTTAGAATTTTTCAGTCCAATCTCATAGGGTTTGTACAAAGGGTGTTGAGTGAACTTCGTATATGGAAATCTTTCCAAGCAGTCTTTTTTCTTCATATAAACTCATGTTAGTTGTAGTTTTGAAAGCACTTTCGAAGAAAATGTGACTTTCCTACCTTTTTTCGCAGTCAGACGTGCATGTTGTAGTTCTCACACGCGTGAAAGCCCTACATAATGAAAGCCCGATGCTGATTGGCTGCTAAAAAAAATAATTTAGTCTGGTTCCCAGACCAAAAGATTCTGACTACTCCTGAATCTTTTGGTCTGGGAACCAGATTTAAAATAAATAAGTTAGTCTGGTTCTCAGACCAAAAGATTCTGTCTATTCCTGAATCTTTTGGTCTGGGAACCAGACTAAAAATAAATTAGAATGTTTATTTTTTATGTTGCGGAGAATGGAAGGGGTTTCGCATGGAAATTGTGGCAGACTTTCGCCTGAAATATAACCATCACTTTTACACAGTGTCGGGATTTTAAGTCGATCACAACCGACGTGCGTTTAATAAAAATGATACGAATAGATAAGGGGAGCCCTAGCTCGCTCTTGAAATGAACAATGTTAGATTTATTTTATCAATCTACAAAAAAAATGTGTGGGGGGGGGGCTTGGTATTGGGCAGATCTTCGGTTCCCATATTCTTCCATTTTTTTAATAATTAAATTGAGTGTTCTAGAAGTAGGTAAAAGAAGGAATGCTTTATCGTGAACGCAGGCAGTAATCGTTATTTAATTTGTTTATTTATTAATTTTTTATTCTTTTTTTCTTTCACACAACCATACAAAAGCTACCATGTTTACAAACCCTTGTTAATATTACTTGACCACTCGGGGGTGCTTGGACAAGCAGTGAAGTGTTTTAGGTTTTATGAAATACGGACTCAAAGGAGGGAATGCACATGTCATGCATAGATAATTAGGACCAATAAAACCAACAAGGAGTCCGATTTTCACAGGAGTCCCATTTTTACGCTCTGGAATCGGCTCTGAGTGCCGGCTCAGAGTGCTGCGGGACTCGGCTCTGAGTGCCGTGGGAATCGGCTCTGCGGACCCGTACCCGGGTACCGCGTGCATTTATAGGATGGTACAAAGTAGTCAGCTCCAATTGAGTCACGTCACGTATACAGTTGCATGAAAATGAATTAATCCTTCGCTTTGGTTGATCGGTGCCTTTTGCACATGGTTAAAAATGAAATGTCGCTGCAGTTATGCACTAAACACGTGGGCGGCAAGATAATACTCATGTTCATTGTTCATGCACCTAGTAAGCCTGTGAGATCCGGAGTCCGGACCGTCCAATCCATGACTCGTTCAGTTCTGAGCCGGGTATTTTTTACCCAGATCCATCAGAGCCGATTCCAGCACTCGTCCGGTTCCACGCTACAGTACATGTAGTTGTGCAATGTACACTGAAAGCAGGGTACCAGTGTACGTGTATACATGATTTGTGAAGTGCATTTACTTCAAAATAAGATCTTTTCTTTGATTTCGTTGGTACCCTGCTATGATTTTGCACGCGTATGGCAAACTGTTTATCCACAAAAGTTAATCATTGAATCTTGATGTGCGCTAGCCCAATGATGTGGCCTATTTACTGGACTACCTCCATAACTAAAGGCCACACTTGGAACATACCCTCTTTAAAGCGATAGAAAGTTGGTCCCCCCTTTTTCAGACGTCATCGTTTCTTACATTCAAAATGACTGCCATACACAGACGTTTACGTGAGCCTCGATTGAGGTGCCAATCGAGAGGCACCCTTTGAGTATAGAAGTGGGTACCTGCAAAGGTAGAGACCAAAATGTGCTGATCTCGAGCTGCTGCAGAAAAATGGTCTCATTCCTGATGAACAGGGATAATAATTGTAAAACGCTTTGAAACTGTAGGTATAAAGTGCTATATACCATGTAATCACCGCATTATTATAGGATCCATGATTATCAAAGGTCCATTATTGATGTTTGTGACAAAATATTTCGGAGGTCTTCCTAAAAAGTATCAACAAAAGAGGGACAATAGGGTTTCAAAAAATGGCAAAGCCACCTCCTTGCGAATCAGGTGAGGTGAATCCTTAATGAAATTAAAGTAAATACGTATATATTATTGATTAAGTCACCATCCCTTTTTTTCAACAGGAAGAAAAGAAAGTGAATGCATCACAGAAAACTCAAGAAAGGAAGACACTGAAACAAGAGAGAACATCCAGTGCTCCAACTCAATCATCGAGGTCAAGACATAGTGCTGGCAAATCAAAGACTGACCATAATGCACGGAATATTAGACCAGCACAGAAAGCAGTCAAAGATCAAGACAGGTCAAAGGTCACAGGATCATCAGGTCATGGAAAGGTCATCTCCTCGCTGTTCAGACACAACCCAGAAATTCCTAATGTACATGTTTGAGTATCATACTGTATTTAAGTGGCACTGTGTATTTCCAAATTTGACAGTAGAATGATGGAGGGAGCTAGTGCAGTTATTATTTTGGGTAATTAAAATGAAATGTGCCTTGCAAGGGGAGGGGGGACGTAGGGTGGCAGTAAAATGAAACATGCTCGGTAGTGAAAGCTCTGAGACAGCATTGCCTTTCAGAGGGTGAAATTAGATACATCTACATGTACATAAGCTGCTAGGAAAAAAATGAAGCAGCACTGTGTAACCGGGGAGAGCTAAATAAATTGGTTTACTATGGTTCACTCTCCTACAACCGAGTGGTTCCACTTATACAAATAACTTGGTGGAGCGAAATTTTCTGTTGTTCGACAATAATATCAAAATATTTTATTTACAAGACAAATATGAGACAATATATATACAAATGATCAGGTATTTACAAAAAGAATTATAGTAGGAACTTTGGGTATGTAGAACGGAACTTTGTTGGGTATATAAAACGACAGTCAAAAAGGGAAAATAGGCTAGTGAACTGTCACTCCAAGGATAGTATCTGAAATGCATAAAACAATAAATGACTAATGAATTATGGGAATAACTTCCAGATCCAAATACATTATTAACGATATTTAATTCAAAGTAATTTGGGAAAAACTGTTTTCTTTATTTGTAAATCAAAACACTTTTTATAAATGCATCAGTAAAGGAACAAACTGTGGCATAAAATGACTGTTGCCCAAACAGAAGAATTATTTAAATGGCAATTATGCAAGAATATGAATATTTTATATACATGTAGTGCAATTTTAAATCCGAATATAGAAATGAATTATTCACCAAGTTATGTTATAAAATAATGAAGTAAGAATATATACCATGCCCTAATAACAAATTCCCGAATGATCATAGCACTTTAAAGAAAACCAATAGTTTTGGGAAAATGGGAAAGTCTATTTCAAATGATAAATGTGAACATAAATATTATAGCAACACTAAAATTTAAGTTAAAGTTTGCATACTCGTGTTGCTCAGAAGTTACCAATTTGTTTTTTTTTCAAAATGAAAAATGGAGATTCACAAAAATAAAGTACCTGATAACATTGTTTTCTGGAATTGCCGAAAAAATATTAAAATAGTAGGAAATTGTGTTTAAATAAATCGACGGTGTTTACACGAAATGTTCAAAATATAAAATATAGTCAACAGAAAATCCTTTTTGCCATGCCACTCATGCAGGAATTAAATAGAGAATCATTAGGGAAAAAACTGATTCTCAAGAATACTTGAAAATCACGACAACATATTTATTTCTAAAGTTATTAATCAGTCGTGATCACAAGACAAATTTCCGGCCGTGTCCGTTTTGACGGCCTTAATTTCTGGCAACAAACAAAGCATACAAAAGACCAGAATGTTGCATAAATGATGGCATAAAAAGATTCAGGCATAAAAAGGTTTTAGGCATAAAAAGTGAAATATCAGACAAGGGATTTACTCACCACTTTGGATGGTCTACATTCATGCCTTCTCCGTGTCCGATGTCAAAATCGAAGATCAGCAGTTAAAATAGATTAAAATATTTTACTGCTATCAGGGAGCCTCACTCAAAATTTGCAGATAAAAGTGGAGAGTGTAAGAGCTTGCAAAATGATGGTTTGAACGCAACAAGGTGTTGGATCGAAATCAAAGTTATTTTGCAACTAGCCTTACAAGAAAACTAACCGAAACGCCCGGAATGTCAGCTATCTAATTTGAACAAAGCACGTGGAATGTTAAACTCGCCTGCTCGCTAGGCCCTTTGCATAGTTGAGCAAAATTCTAGGCGGCGCGCGTTGTGCAAAAAAAAGTTCAGTTGGCCGCGAGAGGGCGCAAGGCAAAAAGCATGATCGCAATGGCTGCTCACATGTGAAATGACACAACCACGAAGTTACAAAAGTTATGAAATGAATGCTGGAGTAAGGAACCTGTCGGGTAAAAGTAAGTACTGAAACCCGACCTGGTTACAACTTTCTATCTTGCCTCAGTGTACATGTAGCACTCATATTCCTCCACTAACTCCAAATATACGTATGGTAGTAAGTTTGACGCAACATTATTTCATTTTTGATTTGAAAATGTCCAATGACCAGCCATAACTTCACCCTTTGCCTTACACTCCATTCTAGGTATCATAGGCATGAGTGGAGTCCATATGGTTCATTTGGGTTTTTTCTGGCTTAAAAAAAACCAATGTTATCATGCCAAAGGTTCATAATGACACATATCCTGAAGTTTGTGGGGTGAAAGTTTCTTCCCCTTGTGTCACTTGCCTGTTGGCTTTATAATTGTGATTGATTTATGTTTGAAACAGTGCCAAGGTCCAGTCCAGCAAAGAGGCCATTTTCTCAGCGCACTCATTCCATGATCTCCCTCTTCATCCTCATCTGGTAAGTTAAGCACTGATACTGAAAAAAAGAAGCCTTTCTTAATATCACAGTTTATCATTCCATTTTCAGTTTCCATGTTCCTGATTAATCTAAAGCCGATTTTTATATTTGCATATCCAATTTTTCCTGAAAAGTGCCTGCTGTCAACATCATAATACTAGCGCATGTAGTTATCCCACTTTCTTGTCAGTGAATTATTAAGGTATTATTGGAGCTTAAACATGGTTTTGGCATGTACTCTAGCACCTTCTGAACAGAAGTCTACATTTTCATAGAGCGCTTTCAATTAAACAAATGTAATCAAACACCTGAATAATCAAATTTTTTAATAATCATCTAATTTAGATAAATCGCTTTCTGAATAGTGTTTCTAAGCACTATTCAGAAAGCGATTTATCTAAATTTAATAATCATCTATTTTAGATAAATCGCTTTCTGAATGGTGTTTCTAAGCACTATTCAGAAAGCGATTTATCTAAATTAGATGATTATTTAAATTAGATGATAATAAATGGCATAACACAAATGTGGGTACCAGTCCAGTATTTGTCATTTCTTTGTCAGTTTGCTGAGAAAATCAGTTGACAAAAATGGGTTTTCTGTTGTGCACATTACTGTAGTTGTTGATATTGCTTTGTATTTGTTGTTTAGTTTGCTGAGGAGCCAGTGTTGATCAGCTATGTTTTCTGCTGAGAAGTTGGTCACACTGACTGTGTTGTGCTCCCATTGTGAATGGCAGCTTAATAAATCAGCAGCATTTGGAATTTGGAATAATGTTTTTTAAGGGCAAGACATTGTAGCTCTCATACTGTTCTTAACCATTGAATGTATGAATTTGTTAAAGTTCAAATCTAATAGGGGGCAGTAGTGTGATGGAGCAGTTATAAGTGAGATGTTTCAAACCGGTTAGGAGCCTGGCCGATGATAATGGCGGAGCCAAAGATGAGGGTTTTTATCAGTGACCATGGCCCTTAACAGGTTTGAAACGTCACGTTCATAACTTCTCCATCACCCTATTAGCCCCATTCGTAAATACCTTTTCAGTCAAAAAGTTGAAAAGTTGACAAACTTCCAATGATTTTGTTTTACCATTTTACTCCATGCTTGGGTCATTTCTATTGTTTGCATGAGTTAGTGGTATGCTCACCATCTTATATGGAGATGATCAGTGGTTCTCAAGCGCACAGTTGCAGCCAGCACACGCAGAGCATACTGTGCACATGTAGCACAGAGCTCTGTCTCATGATCAGTTTTGAAACATTGCCATTTATACACCGAGCAGTGTTTGAACAGTGGTTTAAAACCACCCATGTGACAGCCTGTCGACCAATAGGAAAAGGTAAACTGTCCCAGGTATTGATGAATTTCCTCTATAACAAACTCACTTTTGAATTAACCCTAAGTACCTACGCATTTTATCAAGTCCAGTTCAAAGTAAAGCATAGTCCTTTCACAAGTACAGTCGCAGAAACAAAGGAATGGTTCTGTCACAGTTCATTGAGTGCATAGCTTGTGACTTGACTGGAGACTGGATTATTTGTGATGGACTTGTATGGAGTTGTGATGGACTTGACTACAGCACTGCATTTTATACTAGGGCAATTCCGTAAATTCGGACGTGCATGTCAGACACTTAACCCTAACCGCCCCCAATGCTACAAAATACCATTGAGTAGTAACCTGTAGTATTAATTTCTTTCCATACAAGTGTGCACAGCACATGTAGTATTCTGTGGTATTTGGTACTTGACCCCCAAACAGCCCTTTGGGGGTTAGGGTTGAGCTGCTGTTGGAAAAGTGAATGTGAAATACCACTTATAATGTGACATCTAATGAGTAGAAAACAATTACAGACCAAAGTAAGATACCACCACCTTAACGACCTTGTACATGGACATCATGTGGACATACGGTACGTTGGATTTTACGGATTTGCCCACAAGGAATTGCCCACTCCCAATTCTCCAAGATACCCACGATGCACAAATTTATTTGCACATTTTTTAAGGATTTGGGAGGGAAAGGTTTAATCCTTCAAGGTTTCAAGGTACAATTAAGTTGCATAACAATAGTGGCTGTTCCCTACGTACCTTCCTACAAAATCCCAAACTCTCGTGTTGGCTTTTGAAGGCTCTAGGAGGGCACAGGTTTTTAGTTGTGACATGTCCTTAAAAACTTGAATCAACTGAAATCATTGCTTTTCCATTGTTGCATGATTTACAGATATCAACCCTTGAGAAGACACTGGAGTTCAGTCACATGACTAGTGTCCAGCAGCAGGCCATTCCAGCCATTCTGAGTGGCCGAGATACCTTGGTCAAATCACAGACTGGTTCCGGTAAGGACAGACCAAGACTTTGACATTTGTCTCAATTTGTGGCTGTGGCTTCTGTTTTTATGCTATTGGTGCACTATGCTGTGAACTCTGTGCACGAAAAGTAGATGGCACTTTTCAACCTTTTTGGAGAAGCCAGTGCGTGTACTGGTTTGCGCACGTATGGCGTGAAGTACGCACAACTAATTATATTCTGAATGTGCAGAAAGCCACAGTGCCTTCGCGTGATCGCCAGATGTCATTGTCAGTGCGTTAGATTGTCCCTCTCAGTGATCTCCCCCAACTTTCCCTTCATAACAGTTGAGGGTGTACCTGTGCACGGAGCCCATATCCAGACCTATTTTGATCCTCACCACAAAAGAGAGCACTGAGATAATGAGTAAAATTGAGGCCCCCTCAACTTTCATGCAATTTGAAATTGAATTCTGAGAATTAAAAAATATTCAGAAACTTCTTTTTTTCTCCCTAAACACGCTGCAGGAAAAACCCTTGCCTATGCTGTTCCAATTGTCAACTCTCTTCAGGGTCACGATCCTAAGGTTCAAAGATCAGATGGACCTTTTGCAGTAATTCTTGTGCCAACCAGGGAGGTGAGAGGCATTCCATTATCTGCCGGGGTGTTATCTGCCGTGGTCGGAACAATTTGCTGATATGATTATTTTTGATATTTTCTTATTACACTACCACGATCATGTTGACATAAGATTTATTTCAGAGACATCTGTTTTAAAATGTGTGTCACATGATCAATATTGTAACCAAATTCATCAAAACAAGTTATAATGCAACCTAGACGTCTTGACAATGTTTGATGTGTCTATTTCATTCCAGCTGGCTTTGCAAAGTTTCAACACACTCCAGAGAGTTCTGAAGGTACGTCAAGGCTGGACTCTCCTAGATCCCTCAAATCCACCAGAGGGTTTGGGAGAAATTGGAACTACAGCCCATTAACCCTAACAGAACTCAATCCATCAAACCCCAACGGCATGTTCTGTTGGAATCTGTCAGGATGGGTACGGTACCCCTAAACTGACAGTCTTTTACATTGGGTTGGCACACCTCCAGAATCAAAGTCAGAAACATGTGTGCACAGTTTCCCATATGGTGTTGGAATTTGCCAGGATGGGTATGGTTCCTACTAAATCATGCTAGGGAGTTAGGCTTAAAAGTTACAGAATGTGCCATTGGTCTAGTACAGAGTGGAGAATTTGGAGGACTCACAACTTTAATAGTGGCGTAAATGTAAACACTCATTAATATGTACGTATTTATAAAAACGCACAACACTGTTGCGTGACAAAGTCGCGTATGTGTAAATTGACCTTTTCAATCTATCCTTTGCCTTTGAATGTTGAATGTCTCACTTTCTGGGTTTTTGTTGGTAGCCATTCCAGTGGATAGTGCCAGGCTACCTGATGGGAGGGGAAAAGAAGAAAGCAGAGAAGGCTCGTTTGAGGCGTGGCATCAACATTCTGGTAGCCACACCTGGTCGCTTCTTGGACCACTTACAGCACACAGAGACATTGAGGCTGGACAAACTGAACTGGTTGGTCATGGATGAAGCAGACAGGTACTTAATTGACGGCGACATAGGGATCCAAATATCCAAAAGACAACTTGACCAACTCCATTGATTGAGGTACTGGTCTAGGGTTGCTGCTGTGACTGAACTAGTGTGTTTCTCACTCTGCAAATCATTCTTTCAAGACAAATGCTGCCTTTGGATTCACATTCAATAAGTCATATGTTCATCTTTTTGGTCATCTTTATGAACTTCTCTGTTGCAAAGTTTGTTTTCTATTTAGCTTTTGTAACAACTAATGGGAATGATCTTGTTCACTACATTAACTCCGGCTAAACCGACATCATACAACTCGTCAAATCGCTCAAGTCGGCCGTCTGACTAAAGTCCCGATTGTCCGTAATGCATTTCCATTGAATTTTTTATTTCTAAGTTGGCTTTTATAAGTCGCCATTTTGCTCAAGTCGTCGTGTTACTCTCGGTCCCCTTTCCATAAAAAGCATTACAAAATCCTTTGTGTAAGTCGGCATTCAACAAATCACACATTGGCATCGACTTCCTGTACTGCGGTTGGCAAAGTGTCGAGTGAAAAGTGGTTGCGCACGGCCTGTGATCGCCGCATGCATAGGTGTCGAAAAAGGGTGTCCTACTGCATACCACTATGCGGCGCTATAGGATCTTTGCTGCATACATTGCATATGCATGCATCGTGAGCATATCAATACCAGTACCCCCCCTAGGCTGTACGCATGCGCTCTGTCCATTTTGGGGGTCGTCTTATTGAATGACGACTGCTGCAGTCAATGCGTGCGTGGTATATACCGGAACACGCACGCATTTAATTCGTTACTGTGCACGTACATATGTATCGTGGTCTCCACTATCAGTACCCCAAAGGTGATGATACAATTTGAGGATTAATTTGCTGGATTCAACTAAAGCATAAAGGAGATAATCCAGGGTAAATCAAAGCCAATTGGTGCAATGAATCATGTGAGCAAAAGAACATTCATGTAAGTCGGCAAAATGACGACTTATAGCATATATCGACATTCGCGTAAGTCGTCACAAATTCTCGGGTCCCGAGAGTGCTGGTTTAGCCGGAGTTTACTGTACTTGGCTGTTACATGTACATTGTCAAATACATGCCTTGTCCAATTCCAACTGCCAAACATTTCATATTTTGAAACCAGTCCTGTAAAAATCCTGTCAAAGTACAATTTTTAAATTTTGATTTAACATATGTGATATCAGGAATGGAGTTTTGCTTTCCAAGAGTTATGAGCATTTGTTCAAAAGGTAGTTTTAGTAAAAATCGGCATTGTCCTTTTTCTTCAGGTTGCTTGATATGGGATATGACCGTGATGTGTCTCTCATTCTGAACAGTCTTAATGAGAAGTGCCAGCAGAGACAGAATATCTTTCTCTCAGCCACTCTCACCGAGGGCGTGGAACGACTCGCCCAAATGACCTTAAATGACCCCATCAAGATTGACATTGCCAAAGAGAGCCAATCAGATCAGAGTACAAATCCTCTTTCTGCTAAGCATCATCTCGGAGGTGTAGAAACAGACAAAAGGGTGGTAAGGGAGAGACCGAATGCAGGAGACTCCATATCCATTGAGGACTTCACAACCCCAGAAGGATTGCAGCAGCATTTTGTGATCGTGCCTAGCAAGTTGAGGCTTGTCACGCTGGCTGCATTTATCTTGAAGAGAGCTCAGGTAATTAGGTTCACCCCTGTGTATCCTCACCTGTATTGTATAACAATACTTGAGACTGCCAGATTTTTTATTTAACTTTATATTCATAACTTCTATTAAGTGCACATATCCACGAATGTTAGTACTCCAGACAAAGCTTCCTTGTATTTTGTAGTCATTCTTAGCAAGCTGAGGCTAATTACATTGACTGCCTTTATTTTGAACAGAGCTCAGGTCGGTCATTGCATACCCTTTTCGAATATAGTTTATATTACTATAAATTATGAAATTTGTAAAAAGTGCCTTGACAGCATTTAATACACATATATTGTTAGTTCTTGGGCGTAAACAACATAATGCTAGCGTATATTTCTGGTCTTGCAGCCATTAGTTCATCTTTGGTACAGAGAAGAAACTATTTTTTCGTGTTCCCAGTATGTTTCTTAAAGTGGAGGGGCACAATACATGTCTCTGCAGTAGGAGATGCAAAAACGACAAACTTTTCAAAATTTGGGGAGTAGGTACCAGCTTGTTACCCCCAAAACCTCTGCCACCTGTGCTGAGTACCCAGTAACAAAGTGATATGCCTATCTGAACATTGAGTTTATTCATGTTCATTTATTAAAGAAAACTGAAGTTGTGTTTCATATTTGTTTGCAATATGACAGACCACAGGTGATTGCAAGATGTTAGTCTTTCTCTCCAGTCGGGATTCCGTGGAGTTTCACTACACGCTGTTCAAAGAGAGCATCAAGGCTGTTCTTGAGATGTTGAATCTCCTGGTGCTAAGACTACATGGGAATATGTCGCAAGAAGTAAACTTTTTTTTTTTCAAATTGAAAATGGCATTCTTTGAAAAACACATTTTTGGAAATGCTTCAGAAGCCTCAAAACATTGAAATAGATTCCTTTGTTTTTCCTTTTTATTTGTTATTTTTTGTCTCATTTATTTGGTACAAATTAATTTAGTTAAGAATCCCAAGAAATGTTATCTTTCAAATGTATCATAAACTTATTTAAAAGAGTTTATTCTATGTTCTTTTATCAATTTTTTCTACTTGTTTGTTGCTCTTTTTACATAGGAACGGACAGAAGTATTTTTGAAGTTTCAAGAAGCCAAATCAGGCATTCTCTTATGCACGGTAAGCTTGCACAGCTGCTATGCATTTCTGTGTTATACAGCAATACACATTTTGTTGTGTAATGATGTTTAGCAAAATTGGAAATTGACACATTTTCATTTTGAATCAAGGGATATCACTTACTGTCAGAGCTGCATGTTGTGCCTGGTAGTGCTGTGTGAGGGTGACGTCACCTTAATAGTATGCTGAGTGGTGTTCTTGGGCAATGACAAACTGGCCCAGGTTTCAAAGTTGATGGTTCATTTGTTGTAGTTATACACATATCCCTGCACATGTATCATCTACCCCGTTGAGCTTGACCCTGCTTTGGCTCTCATATCACAAGCTGCTAGCATTGTGCTCAGGGTACTGCAGGCAGTGCCTGACAAACATGAGTCTTCTGGCACACATCCTCTCACTAAGGGTTGGGAGTCCTGCATTTTGAGATTTGACCATGAGTCAAAAATATATCCGTACACATATTCACAGGCAAGGATGGGCTATGATTTCACCGTCCTTCTGATTTGAGGTGTGCGATCGCACCGCCACGCCATCGCACACCTAAAAGCTTCTGAGAAGTGCGAATAATCCCACACCTGGATCCCTCTGTACCGCACACCTCGGCATACGTCTACAGCATAAATATACTTCGTAATTTGTGGGGAAAAAAAGGTACGTCGGTGAAGAGAAAAAAATCAAGCATTAGGCCTACCTATATCGTTTATATCGCGAAACAGCTGGGCAGTGCGGAACGCCATGTTGATTGTTGACAGCATGAACCAGTAGCCTTGTTTCAGCACGTGTAGAGAATTACGCACTAAATGTACATTATGTTGTAAACTGTATGGGGCAAACGCGCTACCAGACTGTGCGTAGAATGTACATGTACTGTACACGACGTACGGTGAATACGCACGTGTGTACAAGCTGACTGCTCGCAGTAAAAGCAAGGGTTATCAGTATTGAGCCACAGGGTTATCGGTATTGCACGCTGAACACAGACTTGATAACTTAAACGCCATTGGCCGAAACTGGGTGCAGTTATTGTCACCTGCCAATCAGGTTGCCTCACATGGAACACGGCCGTGGGCGTTACAAAACTTGACACATGTTTTCCATTCACAAAACTTAGCTCGCGAAGCACATTTTGATTCAATCATGACTGATTCGTATTTTTAAGAGGTGGGAGGGAATGGGCAACATAGGGTACAGGGTACAGCGAGATGACGACAGCGGGAAGGACATGGTTGTCGAAGTAAAAGTGGAGTAGTTTTGTTTGTTATGGGCCGATTATGTTTACCATGTTTACTGCGATACGAATGCTTGCCTCTGATCATGGAGGAAGGAATAACCATGAATAAACTAGTGGTGCTATTCTTTCGTTTTGAACTCCTGATGTTATTATTATGAAGTTCTGTTACAAAGCAAAGTACATGTAATTTCAACTGTTAGCTGTCAGTGTTGTGGGATTTACTGTGCATTAACTGACTTCCTTTTTTTGAACCAAGCTATTAATTAAATAATGTGTTTTCTGGGGGTTTTTGTTAGTGAGTGTAAACCAAGATGAATTGTATAAAAAAATACCAGATTGTTCAGTCCCAGCTTGGACCACAGAATCACACGCCTAGAAAAATCCAGGTGTGCCTTTTTCCACACACCTGTGATTTTCAAATCAGAAGGACTGATTTCATGGATAAAGTTGTGTCATTGGGGTTGATCATGAAAATGCACTTGAGGTTAAATTGTTTTCAGAATCATAAAGCTTTTGCATGACATGGTTGGGGCAACAACAAAGTTGAAAAATGGCCTATAATAATAATAATAATATGGGCTCCATGCGCCAACAAAAGAGGGCATTTTTACCTCTTTTGAGAGCTTCGTGGACGGGACACACGGCGTGTGCGTCCTGTACTGTACTGGTTTGCGTGCGAAGTACGCACGACTTCCTGAATGTGCCAAGCTCATAGCCACAGCATCTTCGTGTGTGCATCAGGCATCGTCGGCGCGCGAATACATTCGAATTTAACTAGCTATGGTCTCCCAGACTAATCCCCGCCCCCCAATAACTTTGGATCATTCGAAATATACAGTGGATGGACCGGGACTTGAACCAGTCTACAACATGTAGGTCTCGCCCAACTTTCCTTTCTGGCCGTTGAAGTGGTACTTGTGCACGGAGCCCATAGCGCTTTATACCTAAGGTTCAAAGCACTTTGCAATTATTATCCCTGTTCTTCAGGAATGAGACCATTTTTCTGCGGCAGCTTGAGATCAGCCCAATCTGGTCTCTACCCTCACAGGTACCCATTTATACTCCTGGGTGGAGAGAGGCAATCATGGTAAAGTGTCTTGCCCAAGAACACAAGCACTATGTTCCCCGTCAGGGTTTGAACCCACGTATTTTGGCACATGACTCGAACACAGTAGCCATTTGACCCCAGCACCCAACATGGTGACATCAATTTTTGGCAAGGTTTCATATTTTTATGGCAAAACATTGGTTGGCATTTAAGCTTACATTTTCACTGTAGTACATGTGTTTCTTCTTCCGTTGCATACATCAATATCTGTATCAAATTCTGTACAATCTGTTTGATTTTTGACAATTTGGTTGTTTGTTTTTTTCAGGATGTTGCTGCAAGGGGACTAGACCTGCCCAAAGTCAAGTGGATTGTTCAAGTAGGTCACAAAGGTTTTTCTGATGTCTTTGTTCAAATATTACTTTCCATTTTAAAGAAAGGGGTTCGTGAAAAAAGGTTATTACTTGCCTTACATGTAATTCTCCAATGTTTGTCCACTGTTAAATTGACTAATAGTCTAAAGGGATAGAGAGTGTGCAAGGTAGAGATGGTTTTTTGTGTTGTAAACCTTGCATGAATAGAACTTGGAGTGGATAAATTGCAGTCGTTGGTAAGCAGCTTAATCTCAATTCATAGCCCAAGCCAAACTGTTTGATTGAAGTTCCATTCTGACAGCAACCACTAGCATAATAACCCATTGGAAATGGATCCACCACCACAGCATAGTATAGCATACTTCTCGTAGCTATTGACCCATGCATAAGTATACACTCAGCGGTGACAGAACAAAACATGGCAGCTATGGGCTCCGTGCACAAGAACCCCATCAACGGCCAGAAAAGGAGAGTTGGGGGTGGCCTAGACTGGTTCCCGGTCCATTCACTATGTATTTCGACTGATCCAAAGATGTTGGGGCAGGGATTAGTCTGCGAGACCATCGCAAGTTAAATTTGAACATATTTGCACGCCCATGACGCTCGCGTGAGAAGATGCTATGGTTTAGCTTTGTGCACATACAGGATAAATCAGTCATGCGTACTTCGTGCGCCAACCAGTCCTGTACGCACACGCTATGTGTCCCGTCCAAGGGGCCCTCAAAGTGGTAAAAAGGCGCCCTCTTTTGTTGGCGCATGGAGCCCGTACTATAGACACGTGCATTCAGCAGTCATCTTTGTGGTGTTTTTGTTATTTTAATTCAGTAACAATGAATGCGCAAGAGTCATGTGTATCCCTGTAGAATAAAAGTGCACACCTCAAACATGGCTGCAGTGTCAATGTGCCTTCCTCCCATACCAACACATGTCAGGGTTTGTATAGTTGAAATGTGGCCAAATATTCTGTGTACTGTATTAACACGCAAAGAAGAACATGCACATGACATGTCCTTTACTGGCCCTCGTAAGTGGATAAGACAGCCCTATCTACACTTCCTACACATAATCCCATCCAATTTTAGTATGATTTGAGTCGAAATTTTACACAAGTCCTAAAAGATAACTCCCTTTGAGAGAATTTTATGTCATCTTTATTTTCATTTGATGTAGTACAACACTCCAGGTAGACCAGAGGACTATGTACACCGCGTTGGTCGGACAGCTCGTATTGGCAAGAAAGGCCAGTCTCTTCTCTTCCTGACGCCAGCTGAGGTGCAGTACCTCAATGTGCTCAGCCAACACAAAATCAAGTCAGTCAATTCAATTGCTTGTATTCAGGAAGGAGGGCTGTAGTCTAATATGTGGAACTATTGCGAGCATATATGTGCCACATAAGTGTGTGAAACTTACATAACCCACCTACCAAAACAAGACACAAGTAGATTATTTTGATTAAGCAATTTTTGTAACTCGACAGCTTTTCTGATTACTTTTGACTATTACAGAACATTGAACATTTTAAACACTGATTAGAAACTTTTCAACTAGCAAAGGCACCTTTAAAAGGAAATATTGTACAAAATCTCAGTAGTCCCAAGTAGTGTTAGTCCCAAGTAGTGTTAGTCCCAAGTAGTGTTCAGTGCTTTTGTCCCTGTTTGGATTCAAAATAGGATTCAAAATAGGATCACTAGATGGGAAGGATTAGAAGGATACTATTTGGCTATTGCCGATTATTGAGCCAATTATTGACTGATTCCCAATGACAGCATTCAGCAGATGGGCCATGATCATCTACTGCACACCCTTATGACCATCAACCTTCACCTAGCTGGTAACCAGTACCGCCAGCCAGTCCACACAGCACAGGAGGCAGCCGGTGCCATGCAGCGGGTCTTTGAAGAATTTGTCAATAGCAACAAGAGTCACACAGTATTAGCTGTCAAAGGTGAGATGGCCCATTTGAGAACTTATGACCATTTGTGAACTTACATGCATAGTTAATAATGAGCATCAGGTATTACATAAAAAGCAAACTGTTAGTGTTGAATACATAATATGGTAAGGAAAAAAAAAGGGAAAAATTTGAAGACCACCTTGCAAATGTTTGCTTGGCACTGAGTAAATATAAACATTCTTCATTCAGTGGTAAAGCATAAAATGTGGGAACAAGTTTCTTTTATACTGTCAAATGCTGTCCATAGGCAGGCACGGACATGCAGGAATATTTTACATTCACTTATCTAGCTGCCAGATGTATTTACTTAAAACTAAATGGTTCTTGAGTCCGGAGTGCTGAATGGTAACACATAGCAACCGATGGAAACGCACATGCTAATAACAAGATTTGTCATCAGCTTGGCTGTTTGTGACGCAATAACACGCACACCTTTTGTGATTTATCTTCAAACTTTTCCTGATTAATGACCTTATGTAACATATTTCCCTTGAAGGCAATGTTTTTTCCCTTGGACACACCATAATTCGAGAAAAAAAAGTGAAACAAAAATTGGTTGTTGCTTGTAGCTTTCCAGTCCTTTGTGCGTGCCTATGCCACCTATCCGGCCTCCCTGAAACACATCTTCCACATTAAGAAACTTCACCTGGGTCACACGGCCAAGAGCTTTGGTTTGCGAGAAGCGCCCTCACACATCACAACAGGACTAGGCAGACAACAGCTCAAGGCTAATCGAGGAACCAAAAGAAAAAGGTAATACAATTGCTTTTTCCCAATTGATAAATCATTCCCTTTTGGGATGTACTCTGAATTAGTTCAGCGGCTAATTTTGTTGACTTTTTTATACTTGCATTCTTCTAATTTTTGTCTGAAACTCACACCAGTTGTGACAACTTCATGATATTTCTAGCTGGAGGCATATGGTGATGGTGACAATGTTGGAGTAACTGTTCGCTTCAGTATAGCACTTGGTATCCAAAGAGTTTATATGTAGGCCAACAATGACAACAATAGTCCTGGTCGAGAACACTTTTTTAAAATAAAGGTTTTGGTAAAAGACATATTTTTTTCTGGGGTTGGGGGGGCTTTATTATAATATGGCCTAAAGAATGAATACATTCGTTAGATAATAGTCTCATGTTTGTTACTGTTGCACATGCCGCTGTCATTTTTTAGTTTGTTTGGTCAATGCAAACTATAAAGTGATTATTATACTGGGGGTATTAAGCATTTTAAGTTTTGTTTTAGACACTGAGATTATATCAACAGAGGGCAGTATATATCTCAATCACTCCAGACTAGTTGGTTCAGAATAGTGCTTGGGATAATTCTAGATGCTCCGTGAATGCACTTTGTACATTGAACATGCTGTCGCAAAATTAAGCAAACACACTACATGTATACAGTTCCAGGGCTGCTAAAAAAAAACTATTGCTTATTAAATTTATATGCTAAGCATGAAATAGCTTAGAATCAGTTTCAAGTAATGTGAATTCACACAGCAGTACGGTCAGCAACCCTATGTTGCCAAGCAAATAGTTTCTTGGACTGTTACATTTCTGTGCTTAACTGCTTGATATTGTTAGTCAGGACCCCATTGCATGGGGCTGCTGACCAGAAAGTAAAGCTTTGCATATGTATGTATGTACTCGGTACAAATCAGCTTAGATCACAACAAATATTACATGCAGGAAATATTGGCTTGTTACTTGACTAGCTGAGCAAATATTTTTTGTACTAAGTGAATTCTGCGTTAAGTAACTCCATGAAGTTGGCCCAAAATCTGAACAGTGTCCAGCCCTATAGTTTGGTCTTTACCCTGAAACACCAGACGCATAGCCCAGTCTATTGTAAACTGCGTAGACTTTTTGTTTGCTATGAGTGATTTTTGATCTGGTTTGTGGGTGTGGTTTTGGGATTTTTGGGGTTCTTTGTCCGTGTGGTCCCCGCCTCAATTCTTTTTTAACAATACATGCTCAGTGGACTTTGAAGTTGTGGAAAATGTGTAGTGTCTATATGAGGTTGTACAATGTACGCGTATTTGACTGATAGAGGTATAACGTATACAGAACGTCTCATGTGTAGGGCTATACCCAAAACATCCATCTAACCCACCAATGCTTGATGTAGCAAACTGACATTCTTAAATGTCCAACAACTCTGATTTGGGAAGCAGACCTAGTCCCCAAATTCTGAATTGTCTGGTCAACCCAATTTTCACCAGGCCTTGCTACTCTCCTGCTTTGAGTTAAATAGGCCATGCATACACTTCAATGTTCCCAGCAAGGTTTTGCCACCATTTTTGACGGTGTTGGTTTCTCATATCTTACCATTGTCTTTGAAGAGCAAAAGCGCTTCTTCCAGCCGTTGTGCAAACCTTTACGTCGATGTATTAATTGTGCACTCAACAATCCAATTAAAAATTGATATCGTTTTCCACTGTTTTTCTCACCAATTTGGTTATAGATACTTAGTGTCATTACAGGGATGATGGGGCTATTTGGCCGATCATCAGTTGCAAGTAGCTGTTAAAACATTGTGAGTTATGGCGTGGTATTGAGCAGCTAGCGTGGGCAGAAATAATTCATGGGCTTCTCCACAAATACAAGCCAAAGAGAACAGTGTCGGGCGCAATGAGCCACGCCAAACGCTCGTACATTGTCTAGATATCCCTCCTCCATTATTCACGTGTACGCATTTGCTGTTTTACGCTTTGATGAGACTTGTATAAGTTCCCATTAATTCTGGGCAATTTGGTGAGGTAATCCCCATTAATAATTTTGAATACATTTAGCCAATATTTTTTGAAGGTTTTTTTTTCTAGTATGAAGGAAAAGCTATTAAGAATTTATTTCATTGCAAATTGCAGCATTTTGGAGCTTCTAAGCAGAAAATGGTGCTTAACAAATCGGCCGAGAACCAGTTGCAAGTATAATATAAATACATACTTGATGTTTTAGTTGGTAACCCGTGTTTGCCATGCAATTCTTGACTATCTGTGCCATGAAGTTGACCCCTGGTTTGGTTTTGGCAGCTTTGCAGTTTGAAGGAAAACACTGATATTTGATTTGACTCTACAGACATTGTCATAAGTTCTCAGTCCTTTTTTTTTCAATTTTATTTCTCTTGTCTTAGACAGTACAAAGTGATTTGTTGTATCATGTGCTTGGATACATTAATGTCATAAGGTTCATTTAATAATCATACTTTCGCTTTGTTTTTTGTTTTATTTTGCCTAATACCGATTAGGTATTCAAGTAACAGAAGTTTGTATTTTCTAAGTTTTCAATTTTTTTAGCCACCACAACATTCTGTAAACTTTTAAACCCTGGCCAAATTTCTGATGTATGGGGTCCAGCAAAATTATTTTTTTTTTACCCAGTATATTGTTGTATTATACAATCCAAGTTTGTCTCAAGTTTAAAAATGCATGTCAATTCTACAAAATGTCACCATGAGCATTGGAACGTGATGAAGCTGCCTTCATCTTGTCATGTGTGCCTGTCAACATCTGCTTGTTGTTAGTCACACTGTTCTGCACATTATTATTAAACGTCGTTTCTCATCTGTTTTTCGGCTTTCGTGCGCACGATATCATTTACTGTCTCCCCAATGCCCAGTAACCTAATCATGCTCGTAATCTTCCTTGCACACGCGACATTTTCTCCTGATTGCTAAAACAAGAAGGTTCACTTTAAAGAGTTTAATGGCATGATTAGGCTTTCTAGTATTTTTTTTCTGAATTCCCCACAACATATATACACATAATGCATAAATGTGCATCAAAATCAGTCTTTATATTTACATCATACATGTATACTGTACAGGCATACTTTATATGTTGTATGGGTGTATTTTATCTTTTCAAAATGCTAATCAACTGCAGGAATTGTCCTCCCACACCCCATACTTGATTCTGCGATACATGTATTTGGAAGGATTTATTACTGCACAGGCCATCCACTATCTGCTCTGTTCACAAGTACCCCCTCACTGGTAAAGAAAGGCGCGGCCACAATGTGTACATAGTACAAATCTCCTGGTGTACGTGCGTTACACACACGGAACAGTGCGCGCGCATCAACCAGCGAAATGTATGCCCGCCCATGGGACGTCGTTGCTAGGTAAAAGGGCACCCTCTTTTGTTGGCGCACAGAGCCCATAGCTTTGCATGGTTTCCATTGGCCTTTTTTCTCATTTGGCTTGATAGCCCAGATTTGTTTTCAAGTATAAATCATGTGCCTTAGTTTACTGTGCAGTGTTGGATTGTGAAATTTTGAGAAATCTTGGCGCAAATTCCTAGAGGTACATGTACATGTAATGTGAAGGCATTAAATAAGGAGTACATGCAGGCTTTGTCTCTGTAACTCAGAAAAAAAGTACTGCTTCTGGGGGTGCCTGGTTAAATATGTACATGTACTGTCCATGCTATTTGTATGCCTCTCCCCACCCCCACCCCCCAAAAACCCCAAAAAATTAAAATGCTCAATCTACATGTACCAATACAAAAATAATCCATTTTTAACAAGACATCAAGTGATGTCTGACATTAATTCAGTTCTAACAGGGTAGACTGGTTCCTGTCCACTATCAGGATTGATAATGTAGGGAGTGAGAACCAGTCAACGTTTCCAGAGAGCTGGAGACATCCAGTGTATGCTCACCTATGTAGTAAATGTTGCTAAACAAATGTACTACCATCTTGGTACGTCATTGTTTACCATTCCTTGGTCTTGCTTCACATGTAATGGCCTAAGTCAGTTCAGTTTGATAAAGTTCAGTTTGATAAAATTATCAGTTTGATGATGTTACTTATCAAATTGAGTCCCCCCCCCCCTCCATTTCAAAATTGAACTCCTCACCTATCCATATGTGGCAAATTTAAACTCCACTCTACCCACTCACCCAAGCAAGTAAGCAGAAAACTAATGTGCTTATTTTGTCCCCTACCATGGTCCTAACTTCACCCAATTTTTTCTTCACTCCCCCCCCCCCCCCCAGCTTACAATAACAAGGCACGCATTGGTCACAGTCTCTCGCTCTGACTGTCACCACCCTGTAATGGCATTATCAAATATTAAACTTGGATAATAATCCACTTAAAGTCATTTTTTCTGATGAGCACTTTTGCATTGGCCTGCCATGTCAGGGGGGCCCATAATGGGGTATTAAATATTCAAAAGCGTGAATAATCGTTCCGGGAGTCACCAGCTCGTCGGGTGATTAGTAGGGAGACAGTGGGGAAAAAGGAACTGAGAATAAGGGGAAAAGAAAGCAAGAGGGAGACAGAAAGGGAGAGAATAACTTGGAAAAGATAGGGGCAAAATAAGTGTCTGTGATGTTGTGTGTGTTGAATGATTCATGTCCAAGAGTTTTACAGCAGCCGTTGCTTTCTCTCACGCTGGCAAATTAAACTTTTATCCGGACTTATCCTGACTTGACCTGAAAGGGGAAAAAATTCCTGCAAAGGGACAAAAGTCCACATGCTTATAATCACTGAAACAAACTGACACATGCAGAAGACTATAGTGTAATGCTAGGCTTGATTCAGGGCATTTTCTGACTTTTCCATGCATTGGATGTGCCAATCTGATAATTAAATTAGAAATAACTGATATCAGGGGGAATTGCGAGCTTTGGATAGAAATCTGTTTGGCCACTGCTTTGCATGTTTTATTTGTCTTGCTCAACATATTTTTTATATCCAAATTGTGGGTGGGTGGGTCAAGCTAAATAATTGAAAATCGAAATTCACTTTCCATGGAAAAAAGATAAAAAA